TGGTGGGGGGAACCAAGGGTGAGCAAATCAAACAGAGCCTCCCAGACACCTTAACATGGAGAGGTGTGGATGAAAGAAATACATTTGGTGAGATGTATTGATAGGGAGGAATAAAATGGCAAGCCCATACTAGAAAAAAAAAAGTAGACCAACCCAAAGTCAGAGGCCATGGAACCAGAGACCAGAAAAACAGCAGGATGCCACCCAGATGAGTGGCAACTGCACCTATGTGCAGAATGCCCAGACAAGAGCATAACCACCAGACAATTGGAGGATGGATGGACCACTCCATGGGAATAGCCATGAGCAGATGATAGAACTGACCCACAACTAAATTCAAAATACTGGGAAGAAGGCAAGCCAAGAGTAATGCCCTGTATATACGGGCCCAGAAGTTATAGACCCAAAGTCGAAAAACAAAGATCCAGAACCAGATACCCACCTATTTGAAGAAGTATAGGACCACTTGGAAGTTGGTGGAAAGCACTAAAACAATCTTCTATTGCAAAAGGTGGAAGATAAGAGACAGAGCTCTATGAACAATGAAAAGCACCAAAACTGAGAAACAAAGCCTAGATATGCCAAAGTCCAATACTTGAAAATATCAAGGATATTAAGATATGTACCCCAACCTACAAGAGAAGCATTGGTGAAAGTCAGAAAACCTGTATGATGCACACCTTCCCACCACCAAACAACATTGGACCAATGGAAGGAATGAAATACGATCAGATGAACCAAGGGATCCAAGAAGAGGTGCCATCAGCTGAGGAATATCCATCAAAGGTAAGATGCAAGTGCCATGGAAGGGTACGAGAGCAAACGATGATGCACAAATCCTCAAAAGAGATAGAACCTCCTGAGGCAGCCAACAGAGGAAAGGGCCTTGAAGACTAAATGCTCCATATCCCAAATAACGAGTGGAGAATGAAGGGTCCAAATGATGTGGGAAAGTGATGAAAATGATCCAAGAAAACCAAAAACAGGGAAAAGAGAAAATCCTTCATATTGAAGAATCAAACCACACGATCTGAATCCTCCAGGAGCAAACTGATGTGAACTGAAGACAGGAAGAAGCCAGAAACCAGTCATCCAGTGAATGATGAGACCAGATAACTGACACAGGTAGATGTCCAGTGAACTTTATCACTACTCACGAAAACATGGAAAGGATTTGAGGGAAACCCAAACAGAAGAGCCTAGAACGTAAAAATACCCCCTCCCCCAGGGGCGACTGAAAGAAGGCGGGTAGGAATGCTACTACTACGTTGAACAAGGACATCCACAGACAAGGTGTAAAAACCAAATGAAGGGATGGAAACAACACCCTGGTGGAACAAAGAGGATCAGAGGCTGAAGAAGACAGGAGTGGTCAATGATGGGCCTCCATACATCAGCCATGGAGGTGACAACTAAAGGCTGAGTGGAAAACATACCAGATGAACTGGAGAAACTGGCACTATAGTTCCTAGTAAGAGTGTCACCAAAAAAGGGCAACCAATTGCATGAGACAGGTTCCCTTGAAGGACAGAAAGGAATGGTAAATAATAATTGAGGAGATGGCCACTGGAAGTGAATAGATACATACTCTGAAAAACCCATAGAACCTATGGAACTGAAGTGAAAGTCTCCCAAAAGTCGACAAAACAAAGAAACCCAGTCTCCACAGGATTTGATCCCATCGTGTAGAGACTCATACTGCTGTCAATGTCCAAGTGAGTCAAGTGAGAATAAATTTTTTAAGGATTAGAGGATAGATGAATATTGGGAAAAGCTTTTGTGTGAGCAGCAAAGTTTCCTCTGATTTTTCAATCCATGTGAGGAATGAATTTTTTCATGTGCATCAATATCAAGGCAATGTGCAGATGTGTGCTACCAGTTTTAAGAGGGGGGGGGGGTATTTTTAGACCACTGACCCTATTGGATCATTAGGATACTTTGCAATACCATCAGTTGGTTTTTTGGGCTTTAGGCCTATTGATTGCCAAGGCCATTAAGGCCATCAACATGTTGATACTCCTCACCATTACTGAGGGTGTATGTGGCTAGAATAATAAAGTGTATGACACTTGATTGGTTGTTGTGTGGTCATACAGCCACAGATTAGAAGGAACACTGGTGAAAAAAGATATGTATTGTATTGGAACTTATTTTTCATGACTGAACTGTACTTGCAGATTTGGTGACAATATTGATATCTTTTGAAGAGGCAACTGATTTTACCCAGGGTCAGAACATTGTTACCTCCAGTTATGTAGTGCCATGTGTTTATGACAGAGATTGATGGTATGCAGTCCAGATATAATTTCAAAAAATCTGTTCATGCCTAGCTGACTCAGTATGAGCAATGAAGTGTCTTCTGCTTGGCTGTGGCACTGGATCCCAGATTTAAACTTGACTGGTGTTTCACTAGACCTATGGTCTATGAATCCAATCGAATGCTTCTACAGCAAGAGGTCAAGAAAGTTTCCTCAACAAATAATCCTACAACCATGGAACCAAAAGAGGACTGTAAATCCCCCACCTCATAAAAGTAAATGCTTCAGTTTCTTTGCTGCCTCTAGCTGAAACCAGCCACCTCATCTTCAGAGGATACAGATATCAACAGCTAAATCGATGGTCCTTGCATTCCTGAAGAAAGCAACAATCTAGATTATTGGAAGATCCATCAAAAAACCTTTCCTAACCTATATCTACTAGCCAAAGGCTACCTGAGTATTCCAGCATCCTCTGCCACATTTGAGCATTTGTTTAATATCAGAGGCAAAACCCTCATTCCTGATCACTGCTGCCTCAGTGACAAGACATTTGAGAGACTGATGTTGATAACGATCAATGGACAATTATAATATCTATGAGTTTCCCTTAAAAATAGTCTTTGCTCTAAAACTTTGTTATTGCATTTTTAAAAGGAAAGGTATTGAAATGTTATTATTTGTTCAAATTTTGTTTGGTTCAGTTTCTAAAAGGTGTGTGTTAATAAAAATATTAAAATCTTATTGTCTGCTGTTTTATTATTACTGCATATTACCTGACAAAGTATTCATGAATACATTCCTCTGTATTTGTATTTGAATACTTAGCATTTTCCCTGTATTCGTTTTTGTATTCATAAAAATATAAAATATTCATATTTGATTACTGATCTGCAGTATTTGCCCCATCCCTGGAGGACAAGAGAAGAAAAAATGGAAGGTATTGGATAAGGCTGCCCGATAAATAGCAATGGTAGTCACAGAAGAACCATTGTCGAACAGTCAGGTAAAACATTCTGAAATGTGAGGAACATTAGAATGGGAAGAGAGGTAACCATGGCACAGAGACAATGGCAGAAAACCCACCATTTTCTCTAATAAACCATTAAAGATGAAGGATGGACTGACTGTGAAACCAGAGTGTGGTGTTGGCAGGATGACACACAGATGACTGAAGTTGCTGGAGAAGGGAGTGGGAAAGTGGAAGTGGTAGATGACTGAAAGAGGGTAAGGACTGGAAATCATGACTGAGTAGGCCAGAACAAGTTAATGAGAAATATTCTATACAGAGTGATTTGATTAAGGGTAAAACCCTGGGATAGTAGGTGGACAAGAAGAGAGGCTTAAAGGGAAAGGTTGGATCAATCTTGACTGAAGATGTCTACCACCAAAGACATATGATGTGGAACTAAGACACAAAAGAGGGGTAGTTTGAAATTGAGGCAAGTGGCAAATGTGTCCAGCCATGGAGTACTCCATTGGATGCACAACCACTGAAACATCTGGTGATCTAGGTACCACATAAATAGTTGTTCCACAATTCTTTAAAAATAAAAATAAAAAATGGAAGCAAACACGAGTAAAATTAGATATGTCTACACTAGGATACCAAATTGAGAAGTGAAAAATGGGTTCTACAGATTATAGGGAGTCAGGTGTGCCAGGAGGGTGTGGAGGGCTGTCACATGCTTATTTGCATGCTACATAGAGTACAGCTGTACCACATGTAAATAAGTGGGGGAAAGTGGGATTATCAAGGTAATGTATTGGAATTTGGAAATTATCATATGAAGAAAAGTATTTTCAATCTTAGCATGAAAATCATTTTGCACTCGGAGCAGTCAATAATTTGACTCCATATATTCCCAAACAAATCTTTAGGAAGAATACTTAATTAAAAAATCTGATTTTTTGTGTAAAAAAGACCTGTAATGTTTACTGAAAGTTTGACAAATTTTGTGAAGATACACAAAACATATTAAAATTTATTGTATGAAAACTTTGATGGTTACTTTTTGGTTACAAATTTGGTCACCTCAACTGATCCCGTATGGATTGAGTTAACTTAATGGTATAATTTTTCCCACAAAGTGGACTGTACCCAGCCAGTCATGAAAGAGTTAACTTCAGTAATCAGAGCACAATAACATTAAACTTATATACTTCAAACTTTGTTCAACAATAATTTGACTGATCAATGAGATATTAGCTTTTTACAACATCCCATCATTTAACGTACAATAATTGTTTTGTGTAAAACATCAGATTGTTTCTTATTAAATTAGTTACACTGTGAAAATTTCAATCTTTGTTTAAACTGATATGTGTAAAAAATATGAAGCTTTGTTGATCAATAAGTTATCTATTAGCTTTCTTCATTTAATTGACAATTACCTCAAACCTATATGTTAAGTATTAATAGCAGGTTATTTCTAAAACAAAACAAGCACTTGTACATATAATAACTGCCAGAAAAACATAGTGGTTACTTTACAGGAAAAAATATAAAACATAAGTGATCAAGCATGTGTGTCATGTTATTAGTAAAGAAACATCCAACTACACAGTACCTTTATAAACAACAGGCACTCCATTTCTGAAGAGCACTAATGAAGGGAATTTTGTGATACCAACTTCCTTTTTTGCTAAAGTTGTATCTTCTGTTGTTACTAACAGGATTCCATGATCATCTGTATCATCATCTATGTTCTCCAATTCATGAAGAATGGCTTCACATTCTTTACAAGTTTCAGGTGCTGAAAAAAGATACAGTGCAAACAGAGAGAGAGAAAGAAATAACAAGCACAAATTGAGTTTATGAAACATCTATGCCCTCACTAATATTATACTTTATGTTTAAGCCCCTCCAATTTGATGAAGTAGTAGTAGCTATTGTATAAGTTTGGTCAAAATCCGTCCATCCAACCTTCAGATATTACATCCAAGAGGCTGGGGCAGATTTTCTGTGTATCGTGACCATTTTACTCTCAAAAGGTAATCAGGTCTATAACTTCGTATGTAGTACTTGTTATATATGTTTGATCAATCATTCATCCTGTATTGAAATATCATGTCCCCAAGGTTGGGAAATATTTTCTATGTAGCAGTGACCTTTTGACCTTTGACCAACGACATTCAAAAGTTTATCAAGTCTAGAAATGTGTATATAGTACCTGTTTAATAAGCATCATAAAAATCCATTCATCCATCCAACCTTGAGATATCTTATCCACAAGATTGGAACAAATGAACAAGACTTTTGCAGTATGTATGTGTGTTTGTGTGGGGATATAAAAAAAGAATAGCACAAAAATATGTTATCCTATAAATTCTTTAAATTCCCCAAAACAGCAACTTCATACACCACAAATACCTGTGCATGGGCAAACTAAACATGTATTTAAAGTTCTGACAATACGGGAACTTTACATAGTTTTTAATATAACATTCCTGACTAATTTCTAGTTTAATTGGTTAACTTACTTTACAAAATAATGAAAAATTTCTTAAATGTAAAGACATTAGGTATGAAAAGTCAATCTATCATCACTTTTTTCAACCATGCACTTTAAATTTCAAGGTTGCTTTCTATACACTTAGCGTGAATCATAACACTATTATTTAACCAATGAACATTTTTTAAAAATTGACATATATTTGAAAGAAAGCTATCAAAAGAAACTTGAAGAACAGTTACCTACCAAAAAAGACCAACACATATGGGTGATCTTGAATTAAGTCCTCAAGAATTTCTTCTGTCACTTCTTCTATGGTATCTTCTTCTTTCTGTTTTATCAACCATTCCAGAACTTTCTCTTCATTGGTTAAGTCACCTTAACATAGGAAAGACAATGTTAACAAATACAACTCATTATTTGTTACATCAATTAACACATGAAATAAAAAGTTTTAAGTTTTCAAACAGTAAATATGAAATTTTGTTTACATATGGCTATTTCTTAAAATCCATTGGTATTTAAGATTATGTAGGCTAAGATATGACTTTTCTCTTAATTCATTTTAATTTCTTCTCCATATGAATATAATCTTCATTAAGCCAGCTGATTCTGCTGTTCTTTACACTTAACTTTCAGCACTGAAAGACCAATTAAAGCAAAATATATTAAGTCTTGTTTTAGTTTATCATTAACAAAACATTTATGTACCTTCATAAACACTTGGAACTTTGTTTTCAAAATAAACCAGAACTGGAAGTTCATCATCAATGCCATACTCTTTTGCCATGCTGTCATCATCAATCTTAACAAAAGGAATTCCATGTTTATCTGTATCATCATCAATGTTTTCCAGCTCCTTTAGTATCAGTTCACTTTTTACAGATTCTTTATCATCTACATAACAAAGGAGAGTAAACATTAGAAAACAGATAACAGTAAGAACAAGTACATTTTCAAATCATATTTTCATTAAAAACTAATTCTATTTATTGCTACAATTAAAAAATATGAGCTATATGTGATAATCTGAAAACAATATCTGTTTATTTAAGTTTAATACAGAGAATTCATACACTTAACAATTATGAAAATAAAACTAAGATAATATAATGCTTAAGAAGACAGTTCAGTATTCCAATTTAACTCTTTACTACAAATAAACACAGTTTTAAAAAGACTCTTAAACAAAGACAGATTCTTGAAATAAAACTTTCAAAACAATAAAAGCTCAATAATGACATTGACCTCACTCTATACACATTCTTTCTCAAAATAAAACACACAAACCAAGACAGTTCAGCATTCTTATTTTCACTTTCACTATATACAAGCAAGCACTATTTCTTAAAATGCCATAAAAAACATCATGCCTCAGTATTCTAATTCATCTGTCTTTATTTAATATACAAGTATACTCTGTTTCTTAAACTAAAACTTACAGAACAAGATAACACGCTATTCTAATTCATCTGTCTTTATTTAACCCTCTCGCCACAGGTAAGTCAAAGTGCACATGTCACGACTTTTTAGAGTTACAGTCAAAATTTAATTACAATATTTTATTATAATTTTACATGAATACACTTAGCATCAAAACATAGTTGATAAATAAAATTTTAATGTTATATAAACTTAAAATTCTTAATTATGTAAGGAAATATTTTTCAAAAATTCTCAGTCTTCCCTGGTATGAGAATAGTGATATTTCCCATCTAGGTCTTCTCTCTCTTTGATAATTTATTTACAACCTCCTCTCCAAGAAGTATGTAATTTCATGTAAATTACTCATTTTAATATGAACATTACTCAGACAAAGCATAACTTTTATAGCCTTCAGACCCTTCCTGCCACACCCATCTGTCACATTCTCTCCTTCACAATTTGTTGATAGTTCTCTCTTACGTTTCATTATATATTACCTATAACCAATAGAAAGTCAAGGTTTTTATCTATCAAATGACATATTGTATAACGTTGTATTCTGAACAGACCCGTTTACCAAGCCCACCTTTTGCATCCTCTCTTTCACAAATTGCCAATAGTTCTCTCTGACATTTTATACAATATTTATAGCCAATAGAAAGCCATAGTTTTAATATATCAAGTGATGTATTATATTACATTGTTTTTCTGTTCAGAGCACTGTCTATTTCCTGCTTCAGTTTCAAATTTATACTTATACGAATCACATCGACTAGCTTAGCTGAATTTTTAAAGGCTCTTATCACATAGTTAAAAAAGACAGAAAATCATGATAGTCACAGGACATTATTTTTGTGTGTGTTATTATTCTGTGTTTTAGGTGCATTATTTAATTAAATAAAAAAACTGTTTAGTGCAGTAGTACCATTAGTATAAAAAAAGTAAGCTCAAATTTCAACAGCAAAAAAAGAAGACTCAAGTAATTCTTGTTTTTCATGTGTATTCTTTATCTATTATTATAAAAGCAACTAAAATATAAAAATCTAAAACTTATTATGTTAGATAAGATTAGTTTAGATACTAAAAAACATTCTTCACAGGTTATGCTTGTGAACAGCTATTGCATTACATAATTCAATACAGTAATGTGAGCTACATGTTTGCTAAGTGATTTACAACTTCTGTGGCAGGATTATTAGTTAGACATGGTTCAAAGGGCAATAGAAGAATAAAATTTAAGTAGAAACAGAGGTATACTGATATAATCTTTAAGATATTTAGGATAAACAATGTACTTTCTTGTTACAATTTGCAGTCATTCTATAAAGAAAATGGTTATTTAGATTTATTTCGTATTTTTATGGTGGTTACAGAGTTGGTCAAATTGACCAATTATGTATAGAGTTAGTGTAGAGAATATAACAGTTAAATTTGACATTTTTACTTTAAAAAATGTTTGATATTTATTTAGGAGGTTTTAGAGATTACACAAATGAAATTTGACAACTTTCAGATGAATAAAAGTATTTTTAACCTTAACATGAAAATTACTTGGCACTCAGAGCAATCAAAGCTTTCACTCCATACATTAAAGGAGAAATTTTTAGTACAAACTAGACAACCCATGACCCATTGGGTCACCCACAATTCAGGTTATGAAGAATTCAAGCTAATTTCAATTTTGCACCAAAATGAAGGTTTATTTTGAGATAGTTTAATTAAATATTTCAATCCATTCATGTTTTTCATAATTCAAGAAAAGATATTTGATTGTTGATTGGGAGTAAAAAGAATAACCATTTCATTTTTCAAATAAGTGAAGTCAATGTTTTCAGGTATTGTGATGAATTAGTTCATTATGTTGTGGTCTTTCCTCTTAAACCTTCTACAAATAAGAAACAGTAATACTTTATTTTTCTTCGAATTACCTACCATAACCAAGGCACATTATTGATAAATTTTTCAAGATCTTGTTTTTGTCATCTTACGCCGCCGAGCATTGGCTATTATATTATTTCCCTGTCAATGTTCCCATCTTCATTAAAAAAGAGGTTTTCGTTTATAAAATGTTGTTGTTGTTCTCAACTTGATTTTTATTTTGTTACCTCGTTTCCATAGTTACAATTTGCAAATAGTCAATAATATTGTAGGTCCATTTTATTGTTACGTGCCATTATAACACATTTTCATCTAATCATTTAATTTCTGTTGTGCATATATTGCTGTATAGAAGATATTTTAAAGTGATTCATCAGCTGGAAAATGAATAGATAGATAAACCAATATGTGGCGCCATCTAGCGTACCTAAATTCATCTAGAAATTTTCTTAAAAGTGACCCAAAAAAATGGGGCTAACTCGGTAACCCGTGGCCTGATTTTAAATAAATTTGTTTTATTCTATTTCTATTTTCATTTCATTACAAATATGGCAGTATTTGCACCGTTTTTGCTGTATTTAATTACAGACAAGCAAACAAACAATCTCAGAGTTTTAGTAGTATATAGATACTTCATTAAAAATTCTGATTTTTCCCCTACAGAGGAAATTTTGGGAAGATACACAAAACATATTAAAAGTTACAATATGGAAACTAAAGGTCAATTTGGAGTCATGAACTCGGTCAAATCGACCGAGCCTGTAGCAAGAGGTATTATACAAGTATAATGTTGTATTCTGAACAGAATATCATCAATTTCACTCATAGTACATGATTTGTTCCCGTGGGAAAGTTAACGACTAGCTTGGATGAATTTGTAACGACTCTTGTTGCATAATTAGAAAGCCAGGAAAATTTTGAGAGGTACGTGAATTTGTATACTTTTTGCATGTTATTAGTCTATATTTTTTGGTGCATTATTCAATTAAATAAAAATAATTAAATGCATTACTATCTATACTATAAAAAATTAGGGTTAACTCTCATACAAACCTGATAGTAAGAAAAAAAGATGATTGGGTAAGTACTTTTTTTCTTGTTTTTCATATTTATTCTTTATTTGTTATTATAAAAGTAACTAAAATGTAAAAATATGGATCTTCTTAAGTTATTTAAGACTAGATTAGGCAAAATAATTAATAACATAATAAAATGGTTCATGAGGCCCGCATGCGAGCAGCTCATGGGTAATGTTATTCAAAAGCGTAACGTGAGCCCCCCCCCCCCCCGAGTGATTTACAACTTATAATGGTGCAGATAGTACTTAGATACAGTTAAAAGGGTAATAAAACAGTAAAATTTAATTATAAATAGATGTATACTGTTATGATAAAACTTAGGATAAATGAATGTAGTTTCATGTTACAATTTGAAGTCATTCTAGAAAGAAAAAAGGGTAATTTAGGTTTATTTTTATTTTTTTGGTGGTTATGAGGTCAGTTGAATTGACTGGTACCGTTTTGAGATAGGGTAGAGAGAATAGCGGATAGACTATGAAGTTTTACTGAAAAAAAGTTTGAAATTCATTTAGGAGGTTTTGGGGATTACACAAAGGAAATTTGATATTTTTGAGATGAGGAAAAGTATTTTTAATTTTAACATGAAAATTACTTTGCTCATGGACTATTCAAAACAAATACTTAATATATTAATGGACAAATCCTTTATTTTATTAAAAATACTTCACTAAAAATATGATTTTTTTGTATGTGAAAGAGACTTGTAATGTTAACTGAAAAACTGCCAAATTTTGTGAAGATATACACACTATATTGAGAGTTATAAGTATTAAATTTACATAGACTTTAAATAAGTACAAAAAGGTCACATTATCAGCCAAATTGACTGAGCCCATGTTGAGAGAGTTAAGACCTACCTCAGATCCAAAATAAGCCAATCTAGGCTCAGTTATCCATTTCTTTTAAGGTGAGATAAACTCCATACACACTACCATAACATACACTACTTTATTGAAAACTATAAAAACATGAAATAGTTGCTATGAACAGACTACTTTATAAACTGACTGAGCCCATCTTGAGAGAGTTAAAATAACACCCACAGAAGAAGACAGCTCAGTTTCTCAACTGAATTTACTCCTTACTTAAAACAAGCATACAATGTTTCTCAAAATGAAACTCAGAAGTGTTTGAACTTATCTATTTGTACACAATATGCAAGTACACCCTATTTCTAAAAATCGTCACACTTACAGAAAAACAAAACTTAGTATTTCGATACATCTATCTCTCTGCAGTGTACAAGACAAGCATCCACTGTACCTTAGATAACACAGAAAGAGATAGCTTAGTGTTCCATATATTTACATCCACACCAGAAATAGGGTTATTCTTATTTCATAAAATAATCACAGAAGATAGTTCAGAATTCTCATCTACTAGTTTATTCAACAGAATCATGATCTCTGTTTCTTAAGATAGAAATGACAAAAGAAGACAGCTTACCATTCCAATCAATCATTCTATATATAATATACAAGTACATAAAATAACATTCACAGAACAAGACAACTTAGTATTCTGACTGATCTACACTAAAAATTAGCATACTGCTTCTCAAGTAACATTAAAAAAAATATAACAGTTCAGTATTCTAATTTATTTATGTATTCAATAACAAAACCCCATTCTATTTCTGAAAATAACACAGCTGCAACAAGGCTGCATTAAACAGCATTCCAGCTAATTAATCCAAACATGATATACTGTTCCTGACACTAAAAGACTCACAGAAAAAGGCAGCTAAGTATTCCGATTCAACTTTCTCTACACAAGGTACAAATACACCATTTCTTAAAATAAAAAAATTAACAAACATAAAACAAGATAGCTCAGAACACCAAATTCTCTATATCTTTATCAAATTTAAAAGCACATACTATTTATTAGAATAAAACTCACACAAAAAAAGATCAATATTACAATTTGTGTATCTTTATGAAATATAGAAGCAAACACTGTTTCTTAAAATGAAATTCACAAAACAAAACAGATAGGTATTAAAATTAATCTATTAAGACAATTCAATCAGAAAATTCTGTTTTTACACAAAAACAAAAAAGACTCCAAGAACAAACAGCTCAGTATGACAATTAATTTATCATTTTCTTTTTTCTTAAGATAACCATAGCACAAACAACAGTACTTCAATTCATCTATCTCTACTGTAAAACTTAGAACACACTGTTTCTTAAGTTATTGCTCAAAGAATAAGATATATTAATATTCTGAGTAATCCATCTCTCAGCATTAAACAAACACACACACACACACACTTTCTGAAGATAACATGCACAGAACAAGGCAATTTAGTATTCCAATTCATCTATCTTTACACAAAAGAAATGCATACAGTTCATTATTATACTACTCACACAACAAGTAAGCATATTATACTTATTCATATATCTTTAAAAGTTAGTCCACACTGTTCCTTAAATTAATGCACACAAAAAATACAGCTTGGAATTCTAATTTAATTATTAATTACAAGTTAACACACAGTGTTTGTTTAAATATCACTCACAGAATGAGGAAAATCAATACACAAGTACAGTTTCTTTTATTAAAATGACAGTCACAGAACAAAAGAGCTCAGTATTTTAATTAATATATCCCTGACAAAATATAAGCACACTCTTGCTTTTTCAAAACAATACTCACAGAACAAGACAGCTAAGAATTCAGATTCAGCAATAAGGTGATCCAGCATCTGCTCAGTCACATCTTCAATTTCTTCACTTGTTTTCTGTTCAATTAACCATTCTAAAACTTTTTCTTCATTGGTCAGGTCACCTAAAGAAATATCATGTAAGAAAAAAAAATCACATTTTCTGGTTGAAACATTTGCATAACTTACTTGTTAATAACTAAATCTTTTTAATTACCTTAATTTACCCAACATAAAAAAATTAACCATTTTAGTAACTAAAACTTACTAAACAGTGAACAATGATAATCTTCTCAAATTTCTATCTTAAAACTAAATTAACATCATATAACAATACTAGAATTGTTGAATTTTTTATTTGTAAATTAGACTTTTAAACCTTTACACAAATAGAGTTATAAGCAACAAAATAGCAGAGGGTTTCATTTATTCAATTCATGATGTACATATATACAACACACAAATGTTTTTTAAGATTAACTAAAGCCTACCAAAAAATTAAATACAATCATCTTAAATTTCTATCTTAAACTAAATGAACATCAAATAACAGTACTAAATTGCTTTATTTCTCATATTAAACCTTTGCACAAATATGGCAATAAAAAAGCTAGTTACAAAAAGCTAGCCATAAAGTTTCTTATATTGCAAGATGATAGCCACAAAACTTTTGAAGATACAGGAAGTCAGCTACATTGCAGGATACTAGCCACAAAATTATGATTTTCCTATACTGAAAATGTATTTCTGATAGGTACTTACCTCCGTTCACAAGCTATTCTTGTTCAATGCTGCCCTCTATATGCACACTTTTTCTTTATGCATGCCACAAGTCTTCCACTTCCCCCTGTTGGAATTGCAAGATTCCAACATGTCTTTCATGCAAATCATTATGCATCACCTCCTCAGCAATAGGATCATGACATGCTCACGTGACACATGTGACTTCCTCTACACTCCTCTACCGAACTATCACTTTGAAGTTTGGCAGAAAATGTTAGCACAGGAGAAATGTGGGGAGGAAGGGTGGGAAGTGCAAGAGGAGGTAAATACCTATTGATACAGTACTTACCTCCACTCTCACAAGATTAGCTAGAATCCCACATTGAGGAGGGACCAGTGCAAAGGAACGACAGAAGTACCCCCCAAGAGCATCTAAAGGATACCCCTTGAAACGACAGATTCAGATCCGAAGATCAGAAGAAGCGAACTGCACCAATTCAGAGTCAGGTAAACTCTTCGTCCAACTGTGGAAAGTGTAAGATATAAGGGCAGAAAATGAGAGAAGCACATCAGATTGGGAGAGAATTTGGCAGGAAAGTGATCCTAACTATAGAAATATACTGTAACTTAATCCCACAATGAGAAAGATGGGTAAACAAAGGATGCACCCCTATGTGTAGAGTGGCTAAGGTGTGGCAGACCATACTCAACTACATCCAAAACCTTCCCATGGGGGTACCAACATCCATGCGAAGGTAGAATGTGGATCATACTGTCTTCACCTCAAACCCAAGAACCAGGGAATTGAGAACCATCCAATTCTCAGGTATGACATGAGGATTAGCTCTGAGCTATCGATCCAGGAACTCAACATCTGTTACCGAAAGGATGTCTATTACATGCAATCAACTCCACCAACTGTGAATTATGCCAAGATCATCCAAATGGCAATAACATCTCCATAAGAAGAGAGGACAATGGATAGCCAAGGACAGAACTGGAACAATCCCACGTACCACTGCTGTGACCCACAACACAGATGGAGAAAATTGAGGGAGGAAGATAGACAACCCGAAACCTGTGTGAGAACTTATGTTGATTAGTTCACTCTAAATCCAAAACCTGTTTCCAAGGTACTGACATCCACAAGAGGGTAGGATGAGAGCTCCCAATCAAAGGGGTGAACTACATTCTGACATCTCACTCCGTTGTCATTGGTTATCGCAAATAGGAGGATATCACATCATCTACACCCACATAACACCACCACCCTACTATATAATGGAATGGTTATTGTGTGGAATACATTCAGGAGGGTGCCTCCATGGTCAACCACCCCATTGGCTTAGAACTGGAAAGTGGTAAGGACTCCCATACGCCACTCGATGAAAGGAGGGTGACAATGCGATAGAGAGAATGGAGGATCGTCATCACCTGAGACAGTGCAATGGGTGACCGCAAAACCTTATTTTGAAAAGCAGACCATACTGAGTTATTCACTCCAGGCATGGCAGGGATGGGCAGCAATCCCCTTCTGCTTTACCCATGCAGTCCATGGGTAGTATGGTCCAGGACAGTCTTGTTTATGAAGCAAAATATCATGAGGTCATGCACCTACAAGCAATCTTATGGAACAACCCATCTTAATAATGGTGAGTACATGAAGCCATGGAAGATAAAGCACAAGTCAACATGAAATGGACAGCATGGATTTCGAGTTAAAGAATACCTGGTCAAGCACTACTCACCACAGAGCGGGATCCATGGGATAAAGAAATATAGAAAGGCCCCTGAAAAGAAAGTATGAATAAAAACTTACCAGTTAGAGTTGCACCGAAGTATGAAGCATGGTCACAGGTGATAAACAAAACCCCAACAAAAAGGAAATTACAATATGATGGAGATAGTGGGAGATGAACACACTAGGTGTGGGTCCACATGCCGGACTACAGAATTTCCTTCACTGGACAATGAAGACAAGAAGCAAGGGAAAAAGTGAGGTGCCAGATCTGATGGGAGAACACCTGGAACAAATTCCAGCAGGAAGAAGGTAGGGAGGAATAAGCCAATCGAACCAAAAGATGGATCCAATTGGTAAGATTAGAAAATTAAAAATCATGAAGGGAGGAGGATTGCCAGGGGATAAAGAGACGGGAGTGTGTGCCTTGTAAGGAAGCTGTACAGACAATATAACATGAAGAGCTCTGACCGGGCACAGAAGTCTATCCAGATCTGGTCGAGGGTAAAGATGGGAAATGGAAGGAAGGGCAATAGGAGAAAATGAGGAACCAAACTCTTGAACTGCCAAGGTCTTTGGGAGAAAGGAACAATCTGGATAAAGGAGAAGATATGTAGGGTGATAAAGGGTACGTGAAATGTCAATGGCAAACAAATCAGACTGTTGACAACCACAGGCTAAGAGAAGTAGGAAATATGTTTAATGGGAAAGATGAAACATGGAACATGAGGAAAGTGGTTCAATCAGATGTAAGGCAAGAGAATGGAGGACCACATTAACATCCCAATCCTAAAAGGTAGGTCACCTGGGAGGGTAATGTATCCAGAAGGAATGCATGAGCATGGTAAGGACAGAGGAAGCAAAAACTTTACGGTATCAGGAAAAACAGGTATGGGATAAGGTTGCCCTGTATCCTGAAAGTGATAAAATTGAAGACTCATGGTCAAAGAGTCAGGTGAGAAATTCTGCCACACAAGCCACAGTAGGCTGGTCAGTAGGAAACCCCCTAGTTGTAAACCAATAAAGGAATATCTTCCACTTGCATTGGTAAACTTCCATGGAAGATGGATAGATGGAACCAGCTAACAAGGAAGTGACTCGATATGTGAAACTGGATCTTCTCTCCAAGGACTGGACAAAAGCCATGCATGAAGATGCAGGACATGAAGGGTGGGATGGAGGACATATGACCAAGGTTGACGAAGAAGGTAGGCAGAAAGTAGAAGAGGATCAGGAGGGGAAGAGGAGCAGTCGCTGTAACCATCGAAACCAAGGCTGAGCTGGCCAATAAGGAGCAATCAGGAGGACTCGACAAGAAGTGGAGTGGATGAGAGAAATCACCCAATGAAATAATTGGATGAGTGGGTACACATAAAGGTATTTGTGTGACCAATCCTGGCTATAAGCATTGATTGTCAGAGCCTGGGAATGAGGTACTGGCAAACAAATAAGAAGTAACTTGTTGAGGCCTGTAGCAAAAGCATCCATGTGGGGAGAATCCCACTGATGGTAAGATCTCTGAAAATAAGGGGATCTAATGACCACTCTGTGTGATATATCCAGTCAGGGCACAAAAAACGATGTGCAATCAGATTGAAAGCACCTGGCACATGACACGCAATAAGATGAATGTGATGTGCATGGGCCCAGTATAAGAGATCCAACATATGAAAACAGAGATCTCTGAGCCAAGTGCCTCCTTGGTAGTTGATATGTCAACCACCATAGAATTGTCCAAATGAACCATCACCAGACAATGTTGGGTGAGAAGAAGGAAGTGATGCAACACCTAACATACAGCTAGAAGTTCGAGAACATTGATTTGCAAAAGAAATTTTGTCTGCAGACCAATGGCCCGAAGCCTCCTGAAGGGATGCGTCCATGAAAAGATGTAGATACGGATGCGGGAAAGGAAGCAACACGCCTGCCAATGTATGGGCTTTGTCCAACCACCAAAGCAGATCGTCTCACAGGTAAAAAGAAAGGTAATGGGGGAGGAAAGAGGATCCCAAGCGAGGATCCAACAATCATGAATCGCCTACTGAAGGGATCTCATATGGATACTACCTAGGGAGACCAGTGATGTCATTAATTAACACATCCCCAAAAGCAATACAACCTCACAAGCAATAAGTGATTGAGCCAAGAGGGCGTGGCAAACCAGCAGTTCCACTGATATGACTGATATGAGTGTTGATAAAGACCCCCCAAATGGATAAGACATTGAATGGGTCTGAGGAAGGACTTCTCCAGTTTGATCAACCAGCCCACCTGAGCCACCACTGAAAGGAGCTGTCACATATGATTGGCCAATTCCTGTTCAGAGTGAGCCAGAAAAACAGTCGTCCATGTAATAATAAAATCACAGACCTAGAACATGGAGATGTCTAGCAGAAACTCGGACAACTCGGCAAAATATGTAAGGTGTCGAGAGAAGTCCGAAGAGGAGGGCTCAAGTTGATAAACCACCCTGAGATAGACAAACTGAAGATGACAAGGCTGAGGTGATATCTTTATATATGTAGGTAAGTATTGGAGACATCCATTTTGGTCATCCACATCCCTTAAGAAAACGCCCATTTCAGGGTGAGAAAAGACTCCATGGTGAACAGGGTAGTGAAACGAAGTGGTGGAGGCATGATAAACCGATTACTGGACAGCAATACCCAATTTTTGGGGTCAACAAAAAAGGCAAGAATACAAATTCCGGGAAGGATGGGGAAGAGGTTTGATGGCCTACTGCAAGAGTAATTCTTCTGACAAAACCTGAAGCACCCATTGATCCCTGACAAAGGAACATCAGCAATGAAGAAACTCGAACAGCCAATCTCCCACCAGACCAGAACTCATTGGGTAGTCACTGGTACTGGTGGCAACATGGGTGGGTGGTTGGGTGCGTCATCGAGAAAATGGACAAGAAAAAGTAGGTTTGATGGCCTACCGCAAGAGTAATTCTTCTGACTGAACCTGAAGCACCCATTGATCCCTGACAAAGGAACATCAGCAATGAAGAAACTCGAACAGCCAATCTCCCACCAGACCAGAACCCATTGGGTAGTCACTGGTACTGGTGGCGACATGGGTGGGTGGTTGGGTGCGTCATCGAGAAAAGTGACAAGAAAAAGTACCCTGAGCAGAACAGACAGGTAAGGGCTAGGAAGGGGAAGGACGAAAAATGGTAATTGGGGGCATATGAGACACTCTGACTGAGACAAACAGGCTACGATATTTGTGAGGGTGGATTGTTGTTGGACCAATGTTACCCGAGGTTCTAGAGTTTACAGGACTGTATCAAAAATGTAACACCTCAGAAACGGGGCCTTACGTAAATCCCAAAGAAAAGGTCCCATCAACAAAGAAACCATGTATGTAATGCCAGAGCTGAAGAAGACATGTGGGCTAAAGTGGAGGAGAGAAAGGCAAAGGTATCTCCAGAAAACCCCTTAGGATTTCTGTGGAGAGCCTCAGGTAGGAGATGTATGGAAGAAAGATACCATAATAGATTTTTAAAGGTAAGATTCAAGCGAGAATATTGGGCTTGGGTAAGACTGACAGATGATTCGAGAGCCACCCCCAAAATAGGCAATAAAAAAACCTAACAACTGCTGGTCTAAAAATGGATAGTTAGCATCATGGTAGGAAAGTGCAAACTGATCTGAAGTCTACAGGGGGCACAGCATGCTAATCCCCTCGCTTAATTACAAGGCAAATTGATCAGCATGAACCAGATTATCAGGTAAAGGAGGAAAAAAACAAAAAGGTTGGGAAGATTGGAAGGATGAAATAAGGAAGAAATAGGGGAAAGGAATAAAATGTCACAAACCTGAGACAAAAATCCATAAAGACCACATTAGGCCTAGTAGACTCACTGGGTTGGGAATGGGAAGGAACAGCAAAATCTGGAAGGGAATAAGATGATTGAACTCCTCGTCAGCCTGCACGGGATCATCCTGTTTTGGAGGAGCCTGGGCGATGTTCAAGGACAAAGGTTGTCCATGTAATGTTTGATCATCCAGTGTATAAAAGCAGATAAATCCACCATTGGGTTGTCCACGCCTGAAGCCTGAGAAAAAACACTGGTCGCTGGTGTAACCCCCAAATTGGTAACATTAACTTCAGAATTCATTGCACAGAATGGTTCATCAAATTCGAGTGCAGAAAATGAGGCAACTAGAATTAACTGATAAATACTAATAGAAGAAATAGGCTGAATAAAAGCAAATTAATTTTAAAAACAACCACTTCGTGAGGAAACACAGTTGAACGTGAAGCATTAAAGAAACAAAAGAGCACATCCGAACACAAGCACTGTCAAATGAGAAGTGATAGATCGGTAGAGGAGTGTAGAGCGAGTCATATGTGTTACATGAGCATGTCATGCTCCTATTTGTGAGGAGGTGACACATGATGATTTGCATGAGAGACATGTTGGAATCTTGCAATTCAAATAGATGGGAGCAGAAGGTTTACGGCATGTGTAAAGAAAAATTCACATATAGTGGGCAGCACTGAATGAGAATAGCTAATATTGTGAGGGGAGCTTATGTTGCAGCAAGTCAGACTATTTATTTTGTAGGAAATTAGCCAGAAAGCTTTTAATGTTACAAAAAAACTAGGACAAAAGCTTATGAAGATAAAAGATGTTAGCCATAAAACTTCTAAAAATACTAGAAGGTAATTACAAAACTTCTAACAGCACAATAAACTAGCAATGAAACTTTTAAAAATAAAGGTTAGTAAAGAAAAACTACTAAAGCTAGGAAATAAGCCACAAAACTTCTATCAGTACATAAAATCAGTTATAGAACTTTTAATGATAAAGGAAATTCATCACAAAATTTCAAACTTTACAGGAAGCTAGTCACAAAACCTCTAAGTTACAGGAAACTAGCAAAAAAGCTTTCTATGTTCCAGAAAACTAGACACAAAACTCCTTCTGTTGAAGAAGACTAGTTACAATAATTTAAGAAGTTAGTGACAGAAATCCAAAAGATACACAGAATTATAATTATAAAGATCCTAAAGATATAATTAGTTTTCCACAAATGGCTCTTCTTAAACTATTTTCTATAACAAGCTATTTTTCTGGTAAGTAAGTATTTAGTATGAGATTTGTTACAGCTATATTCTATAACAAAACAATGCACTTTATATCCAAGTATTTAAAAAGAAATATATATGTAATAACATTTTAGTGATTTGTACACAGGCAACTGTAGACATTATAACAATAGACAGACAATCACAGATACTGTAAATGCTTACAGGTGTTACAACAGTGTACGGGAACCTATACAAGCCACAACAGCATCCAATCACTTTTATATGCTTTAGAAGCTTATATAAGCATTTACAAGTGTTGTAACAACACACAGTTAAACTATATGTAGCATTCATTTAAAAGAAAAGCAAGATCTCCATGGTAATAATATGTTAACAAAAATATTAAATATAATTCAAACACATATAACAGTTAGTTACAGTGATAAATATAATTTCTAGCTAATATTTCACTTGAATAAATATATTTACTGCAAAAAATCTAACTCCTTTATGTACCATAACAATGGAGGATCCCAAGTTATTAATAATACAAAAATACCAGCTTTAAAAGTATAAGCTCAATGGAATGGCTACTGTGGTATGTAACCTCAGCCAGAAGTGATAATTAACTTTACAACACCTGAATGCAGAAGATTTCATTTAATATATGTAATAGAGTTTTAAATCTATTTCTATTAATTTATGCATATTTTTTTACATTTATTTTCTGTGATTTTCTTTGCTCATTCAAGCAGTTACTTAGGCTTGATGTAAACATGGCCTAACAAACAGTGGTCTTGTTGGCAGAATAAAACATTCATACAGTCAAGTGCAAAGTGATCTAACTAAGCCTATCTCATCTTGTTTCACAAACCTTTTTTTCATTATACTGCAACATAATTGAAATGAAGCACAAAATGATAAAGGGAATATGTTGCAAGCTTTAAAACAAATCAGGTCTGTAATTATGGCAGAAGTTGTCCACAATGTCTTCTCTTCTAGCAATGCATCACCAAGCTATGCTTTTATCACCTTTTCTACAACCTCTACATGAGACTATGCTAACTGCAAGCTATATTACCTTATAAAGTAAAGAAAAAGAACAGAAAAAAGCTTCCAATACATATTCAGATCACTAGCCTATGGCTTCTTGAAACTAAGATATAGGCAGCTATAGCACACCATGACAACTGAGGTTGAGAAACAGCGATTGGCTAAGGTTAATAAATGTATACTTGAAGTTACAAGGTTTCAATTAGTGTTATTTTGTTCAGAACTATCTCAGCTTACCTCCTAGGAGATTATGAATGGTGTATTATTCTCAGAAAAAAGTCAGTAAATTCACAAAAACAAATGTGGAGAATATAATTGAATAGAGTTGTTTAAGATTGGAATGGTCTATTCTTTCATTGGGGGAGTGTCTGTGAGCCACACTAGTTTCGGAGAATTCCACTCCTCATCAGTGACCCTGGACACTACCACCAATGAAATATCAGACCAAACCAAGCCTTTATAGTAGTGAGGTATCGAAAATCTAAATGGTGTATTTAAGTGTTTTACACTCACAAAAAAGAAACCTATTATTCTATAGGTACTTGAAGAATTTGTAGCATTCAGTCACAATTTAATTCTTCATATTGTTAGCCGACACTGGGCAGCTTTAGTACATAATTGAATAGATTTGTTTAAACATTTGTTTAACAACAAGTAAAAGCTTGGAATGGTCCAGTGTCAGCTAACAATATGAAGAATTAAATTGTGGTGAAATGCTACAAGTTCTTCAAATACAATGATAAGTTTCTTTTTTGTGAGTGTAAAACACTTAAATACACCATTTCAAAATGTGGAGAATGTTGAAATAAACCCAAAACCAAAATTTGCTTTTTTAAAAAATGTTTATGCATAAGATTAAACATATTAAACATTTTTATTTTATAAATTTCAACACTGGAGTATTAAAACGACTATAAGTTTATTATCTGTGATTCTTTTAATTCAAATGTGGAATTTTTTCCTCAGGGCAGGATGCATAAATCCAGGCACCAAAGAGCTAATGCAAGTTTATGACTATTCAGATCCAGTTGGCAACAATGTTAACAAACTGAAGGACATTTGCAAGAAAATTTTAGAAATTTCAGGAATATACCTGAATAAGGTATATTCCTTTACAGATATAGAAGGACAAAATTTTGTAGTTTTTCAACTGTTACATCAGTTAATAATCAAACTCCTATGTATGTTGATGAATTTAACTAAAAATTTAATCTTGCGACAAAAAACTGTTTGGGGTTATATTTCCATCTGTCTTACTTTTATTTTTAACAAATGTCTACAAAGTACACAGTAAGTTTTCTTTTCAACAGACTATTCTAAATGTTTACTAGTATGTATAAAGAAAAAACAAGTACTACCATAATATATATTGGGGATTTCATTATCAAAAAAGACAAGTGTTGGCAGTTCCTCTATCCCATATCTTTCTGTTGCTTCCGCATCATCTGTTTTGACAAAAACTATGCCATTTTCTTCAGCTTCATCATCAATGTTCTCCAGTTCCTTCAAGATTTTCTCACTCCTTTTGCTTTTGCTATCATCTGAGACACAAATGGCAAACTATTAGAATAAAATTTAAAAATGACATTAAAGTCATTATCACTAGGTAACTGGAACAACATGGACGTAATCATATATGTGTGTATGTAGGTGTGAAAATAAGGTCATTATCATATAAAAAACAAGGAAGTAATCACATATTTGTGTGTGTAGGCATAAGAGTGAGTTTGTAATTTGCTAATAAGAAGAACATGGAAATATTCATGTATGTGAAAATAGATATCACAGTGAGTTTCTATAATGAAGGAAGGAAGGAACATAGGGGAAAAGGCACATAAAATAAAATAAAAAATAGTAATTTTAATTAGTAGAGCCAAATTTTACAAATTACCTATCTAATAATAGTAATTTTAATGTGAGATACTTTAACTGAGAAACATAAAGATGTTATATTTACATAAATATAAAACAGTGTTTTTATTTCAACACTCCCTATATGTCTAAGGAACATACTGTATAATGACTGTATTCTATAACTTTTAAGAAAAAACATAAAAGTAAATCCCACACAATCAATATGCTAACTCCATAAAGACAAAGGTCTTTAAATAATCAAATTTTCAGAACATGTTTAGTAGAATTTCAGTTCTGTCATCAGTTCTGCAAATATAAACTTAGTAAACATGTAGATGTCAAGTAAGTACGTCTGATAGGTAAAAGTTCAATTTTGTGTTAATACATTTGCTATTCAAGTGGTTATAACTAATAAACAGAAGTCTAGTTTGTAATTATGAACTTATGAGTCATATGAGCAGAAGTCCAATTTTGTGATCAAAGACTTACTGAACAAGCATTTAAAAGGTACAGAGGTTGAGTATGCTATACTAAAACGATTTTGAAGACTCACTATTGTCATAGTCATGCTCTATCTGATGACTGTGCATCCTAATAATAGGTCCGCAGTGTATATTCATAGCAAAAGTTTTTCATGTCCAAACAAACCATGCCTCCCTGCTTGCTTTCCATAATCCATCTAGTGTGTGTGTGTGATGATGCCAGTTTCCCAGTGCCAATTTACCCAGTCCAACAGCACAGAAATCCATAAGAGCTGTATCTGGTAACTTAATGTTTTTTTTGTATGAAATAGCATGGATACTTGTTTCACTCTTAAGCTTCTCAAGGTAGGAAATAATCAAATGGATATGTTGGGAAGCAAATTGTATACACCCAACTTTTACTACTTTTACAGATGGAGATCTTTCTTCATTATTTCATGTGTGTCATTTGGGGCAGATTTTACCACTAACCTTCGTGTTTGTGGATTCTAACCTGTTACAAGATGCTGCACTTTGTTACCACAGTTTGGATAGGGGTAAGACTTGTTGCAGGTCTCCTTCTGGATGGTACTGATTCCCCACATTGATCCATATTTCTTTGTTTTGCAGTGCCATTAAGTAAATGGATATCCCCATATTGGAAATTCTAAATTCACAAACTGAACACAAATTTAAAATATGAGGTATGAATATTTTGTGTTGGAAAAAAAAAACTCTTACATGCTCTTCCCAAAAATAATCAATTTTCAATGGCATCACACTATCTGTGGAATGAAAATGTCAAAATGTCGATTCACCACAATTTCATATTGGCTGTATTTATCACGTGACTTTCTGATATGCATATTCTAACTCTTTTTGATATAAAGTACTGAACCCTCTGTATTTATGACTGGGGCTTTAAAAATAATTCAAACTAAAGTACTGAATACCTTTTACTTATCTGGGTAATAAAGGGAAAATTGGATTCAAATACAGTAATATTTAGAAAAATCACAAAAAACAACAACAAAAGATAATACTATCCTGAGCCTTGACACACACAAAAAATACAAAGTTAAAACTCAATTGAGATGATAGACCTTATATCCCAAGTCTATCCTTATGTTTATTAAGAAACTAAAACAAAAATATTTAACATTTTCAAATTATTTTTTCAAATTTCTTGTTCTTTCTACTTGTGACTGTTTATCTACTTCTCTGTCTATTATGTATGAAATAACTTACCTGTGTTTATATCTAGCCTTTCTCCACTATTATTAATTTAAGATTAGACTTATAAGTTCAGTTCATCGTAATGTTTTCTTAAAATTTTTTTACTGGTTGCCTGCCTACACGATATATTCATTATGTGTCTGTCTCGCACTGTGGCTCAAAATTACAAAGTCTGCATACTTGTACAACTTATTTCTCCCCTAAAGAAGAGAACCTTTATTTTTAGAAACACTGCGTACAGTTTTATTTTTATCTGTATTTTCTTAACAAGTCTAAAATAAAAAAAAGTACTTTCATCATGAGTTCTCCTACTTGTAAAATAGTTTGTTAAAAAAGTGCACTAGTGTTTACAATTTCATCACCTTAAACACAGTATAAAGCATAATCCACTACATCTCCAAAGAAATGCTTACAAAAGAGAGCAGATATATATCACAGTTTATCCAAAAAGTTGTCTATCAAACTTTAAAGATGTTATCAAATATTACTACTGTTTTTAACCATGTCTTTAAAGAAATACACTTAAAAGATATTGCACTGAAGATTATTTGTTTGCTTATCCAAAATACTGTCTACTACTTCTTCTATGTTTCAAAGAATATTAAAGGTAAGTAAGCACATTAAGGAACGAAAAAACAACGACAAAAGAACTTGCTGAAGTAATAAAAAACACACTGATATATTTCTACTAGACTCCTTATCACTTAATTTGCATTTTATTCATAATGTTATTAAAAGTTACAAATAAGTAAGTATATGATTTGGAAGAAGTACACTTACAAAAGAGGGCAGCAATGTACTGATGTTTATCTATTAGATTATCCAACATTTTGTCCGTCACCTCTTCAATTTCATCAGATGAAATTTGTCTCAACAACCAATCTAAGACTTCTTCTTCCTTCTTCAAATCACCTAATGTAAAACGTGTTTTAATGTAAAAAATAATGCAATTGAATTGAAAGAAAACTAGTACTTGATGTCTAAAAAGATTAAGAATTAGGCATGTAGAGAAAAGAAAAATATTAAAATAATTTCAAGTTATGCCAATAGCTATTTCTACCAGTTTACCACGAAAAAAGAGAGAAGTACCACTTAATAAACAAGAGCATATAAACAATACAATAACACTTACAGTACCAGGATAAATCTGTATCTAGACATTTAACCCTAAAAATGCTTATTAGTAAAACAGAGATAAAAAAAACTCATTTATTAATGTAAAACCTGTTTACAGCCAAATGTTGTTACTAGGCTTGAAGATACTATATTTTGATTTGTTAGCATTGGATTTTTAAATGAACAACCCTTTCCATGCCAATAACCATCTTTCAAGTGTTGAGTATACATATGTATATCAAATTTTAAGTAAAAACAATCAATAAACCTTCTAACTGTATTTTAAGAATTTTTACTCAAAAATAGTTTAGAATTATTATTTGTAATTTTTAAATATTTCATATAACTTGCACAAAAAAATGTTCAAACTTACATTATTGTACAACTCTAAGGAATTTCGTCTTTAAACAACATACCAATTTTTTGAAAACGTTTCTGCCCATCCCAAAAGTGAGGTTTATATTTGTAAAGAAACTATCATATCATGACAACATAATCCTCAATGTATTGTTTCTCCTGTGATTTTCCTTCTCTTACTTTGAGTTTTATGATCTCCCAAACATGTGATTGGACAACTACTAAACAAATTTAATTTTCAAAATTTCTACAGACAAAGTTTAAATACCATTGGATAGAACAGTTTATAAACTATTTATATCAATATAGAATGAATGATGTGTTATTATAAGCAATCTATGTCTTTGTGGGAAAGTGACAAGACCTAGCTATGGCATTTAATAGGAAGTATAGAAGAATTAGGAACAAACTAAGGACATAGGAAACATTTTTACAGTTTTTTCAATCATTGCATTTGTTCCCAAAGACGTTTTTGTGATGAATTATATTTATTAGAAAGCTACAGATATTTTCTTTTATGACAAGAAATCAGGTAAGCCTTACTTAATTTAGAGCATATGGTAGGAGATGGCAAAATATTTTGGTGATTCAAATCCTTATTTATTGTTTCTCCTCTATAGTTGGAAACACATTTTCTATGTTTCTTTCTTCTTCTTTTTTATAATACTTACAAGTGTGTGCCACTTATTTATTTCTGAGTTGATTGTCTTCAAACAAGGAGGGCATACACCTCTAGTCCAACTCCCCCCCAGATGACTTTTTTATTACTTAGGTTTGGACTTTAAGGAGTAGAAGGTAAAACTTTACAAAAACATATATTTTGGCCTGCATATCCCTTATATTTCTATCAGTTCAAATGAGACTTGGCAAAAAGATACAAAAAGGTACCTTATGACAATCCAATACAGGCTGAAGCAGATAGATAGGCAATTTTACAAAGATAGTGTTTTTGGCCTCCCAATCCTTTATATTTCAAACAATCTAAATGGGACTTTGCACAATTATACATTGCAAACGGATTCATGTCTTTCTTATGACCTTACAGGGGTCAGAGGTCGAAATATTTCACAGAATTAGAATTTTTATTATACCTTTCCACTATATTTGGACAAATTTAGATTATACTATGTACAATGATAACTTGAAACAATCCTCACAGACATATTTGGGATTTTACAGAGGTGAAAAGTAAAAAACACATTTCAGTGTTTGTAATAGGGAGCTCTGAACCTAAACACATTGTGTGCATCAGCAAATGTCACAAGATGTTGTTATTAATAATTTTTTGATTCACACTATGCATGAAATTGCACAAACTGTTTGAAGAACAGGTCTTATTTGCCCAAAACTCAAAAATTACCTGAAAGTATTTGTCAATGTGAATAAGTCTATTTTTACAGAAATTGACTGTCCTAAGTAATATATGGTCACAATTTAGTAGGCTCCAATATATCTTTCTCACAAAGAAGTCTGAAGTTCATACTGTTAAGCATTTATCTTAATAGAGTATATATGTTGTAGTTTACCCCCATTTCCAATGCCTTAAATACCATTCTCTCTCTTAAAATCTAGTGTATTTTGAGAATTTTGCTAAATAAAGTGGATAGAGGGAAGACATATTGCATTCACTTTCTAGTTAAATGTTATTGTTAAGTGCATTGTACTTTCATAATGCACATAAATAATAGAACCTATAATTTATTGAAAAGAAGGTATATTTATTAGATGTTAACTGACTTCAACAATGAACATTATTAACAAAAATGCTGTTACCTAGTCTGACCTACTTCCATTTTGAAAGGCTAGGTTCTACGTAATTGATAAATCTTTGTCAGTTTCTACAGGTTTTTATGATTTATAACCAAAAATAAAAGTATTAAAAATAATACCTTAATGAACATCAACAAAGTTGAATCTGACTGCGTATATAAAATGGAGATTACTCATCAACATTAACAAAAATAAAATTTTAATGTTTTTTTTTTCAAAACAGTCACACAAAATTTTTGGAATTTTGCAAAAATGAAAACTAAGTCAAATTAAATGAATTTTCTATGCTGAAACTAGAAACTATTTAGTAAGCTTATTCAAAATTTCATGCAATTTAGTCAGGTATTTTCACTAAGAGAAGAAATCATTGATTTCTGTGATCCCCCCCCCCCCAAATATGAAGAGGGTTATATAACTAAATAATTAATTTCAATGATCTTTCTTTGTTTGTTTTTGTTTTTTAAGTATAAACATACACAATGGGCTATCTATAATTTTTCCACCATGGGGATAAAATGCTGAACTTTAGCATTATAAGACCAGAATCGTATTGCTGAGCCAATTGGAGGCCAGTGATCTTTAACTAATACAAAATGTATCCTGGTTCTAACCATAACTGTGTTTTTGTTTTGTTTTGTTTCTGAGTAAAATGAATAAATGAGATAGATCTTTACACTTGTTTGCTTTCATTTTTCAATAGAACTATATTTTATTAGCTGGCAGTTTAAATTTTTGCCTCTATATTTTAGGCTTTATAATTTACAGTATCTGTTGATAGGCCTTAAAAAAAAACTGTTAGGCCACAACATAATCATGACAGCATTTATTTGAAAACTTGAAAAATTAGTAATAATACAGCACAATTATATAAGAATGTGAATGCTCTTCTCACTAAATCTGTTTTAACATTAAAAAGAATAATTCATTTTCATTTGAAATTTCTAAAACAGATACAAGTTTATATTCAGGTATGACTTTGATAATTACCCACAAAAACTTTTAATACTTTAACTCATTAGTACAGAACAACAATATGCCAAAAAAGTATAGATAAAGTGCCAATAATTCTGATTAAAAATTTGCTGAAGAATTTCTGGGAAGTTATTATGATTTTAACAGTTTATAAAAAGGTCCAACCTTGATAAACACTTGGTATTTCATTTTCAAAATAAACCAATACTGGAAGTTCATCATCAATTCCATATTCTTTAGCCACTTCATCATCATCTATTTTGATGAATGCTAGTCCATGCGAGTCAGCTTCATCATCAATGTTTTCCAATTCCTGAATAACTTCCAGAGAGTTTTCATCATCCTTATCATCTTAAAATGAAACAAATGATAAAGAATACATACTACAAAAATAATTATAGTATGTACAATGAAAATTACCTGCGTGTTAAATACAATTTAACATGCTCTGCACAATAAGCAATAAATAATACACACACACACATCTATCGTAAATACACAGAAAATATTGGCAACTTGAAATTATAATACATTTGTTAAAAGTACAATTCTATCTATATAACAAATGAAACAACAAAAAAATTTATATTTATGATTCAATTTGTCATCCTGAAATTCAGTTTTTTTTACGAGCTGAACAAAGCGTTTTTGAGGACAATGTTATTTTTAAATGTCTTTGTTTCAAACAAAATTATAATTTGTAAATAAAAGAATTACAATGAACTTAAGAATTTAAAACAAAATTATTAATATAAACTTTGGATTTTAAGTTTGTTTTTAATGTCAAAATTTTTTTTAAGTTGTGCTAGATAAATCAGTTTATAAAGTGAAGGTCAAAATGTCAATTACTAAATTTTTTTTAAATTCTGAAGTTAATTATTATTTGATTTACAAACATGACAAGTAACTTCAATTAGCATTATGTAGGTACTAAATTGTCATGAACTTTGGGTGGGTGTTCTTTAACTATCTATATCCATAACATAAAATTAACAAATTAGTAAAACATGTCTAAATGAAAATTCACACCATACTTTATTGCCTATCATAAATCAAAATTAACATATTCAAATGAAAAAGGTCAACACAATTAAAATCCAAACCACAAACAATGTCACTTTTCTTCCTATGAGAGATTTTGGCTGGCCATCAAGTACAAAACAGATGAATACATAAAAATAATAGTCATCAAAAGTTTCTTAATCAAAAGCCTGCCTACTTTCAACACTTCCCAAGGTCATTTTAAGCTAAATAGCTTCCTGAGCTCTTGTCTCTTTAAGGTAATTCAAAGTTCTGTGATCACACAAACATTGCTGACCAGTTTTCTTGCCATAAGATAACTTGAAATTGAAGAGGACATATGAATGTGTCAGAACTAGTTTCTCTGATATCAAGACTTCTGACAGTTTATGCCATTTACTATGATTTTTTCACTAACCATGCTATTATGCCAATTTGTGAAAGTTATTGGGATTGTAATGTTATCAGTTATCAGATTGTAACAGTTATCAGATCAGTACAGTAGCATACTAAATACACATAATGTAGGACTTATCTTGAGGGGCTATGTCTCTCAAAATAAGCATTTCCAGATCAAATGTCCTCATTAAACCAGGGCTTATGAGCAAAATTCACAACTTAAGTTATTAAGATTTAGACTCAAAATCTTTTTAACAGGCTTTACTTGTATTGTACACCTAAGGAACTATTCACTTCAGTTTAGCAGCTAAACGACAACAGAGCAAGTTGCTATTTGACCAAATATATATATATACACTCTCCTTTTGTTTAGATAAGTAATTTTTTTAGTATACTTTGATTATGGTGTCTTTTAAGTTTATATTACCTTCCACATATCAATTTTAAAATGTTGTTCTTACTGTTTTGGCAAAACATGAGCATAAGTCAGTAATTTCTTGTCAACAGCAGTATTTTTATGAGATAAAATGTAAGCTTTCATACTCACAAAACAACACTGCTAAAATTTTGGAATTTTTAATCATCTGTTCTAAGACTTTGTCTGTCACATCCTCAATCTCATCAGAATTTTTTTGGTGGACCAACCAGTCTAAAACTTCTTCTTCCTTAGTCAAATCCCCTGAAATTACAGTAATGTAATCTAAATACAAATTTTCTGGTGGACTATTCCAGTCTAAAGCATTTCCTTTTCAATATACATCTAAAATAATCATTTTTGTCAAACCAAAAATTACAGAAGTACCTCATTATTTTCCAAAATAAGCTTACATGAAAACTTTTCTGTTGGCTTAACTAATCAAAACATTTCTTATAATAATTAAGTAAATTATAATTAGAAACTATCAAGTTTTCTGAGGGCTATCAGATTCATATTTTTATAGTCAATTAGAATTATTAATTAACATAAATATTCTGGAGTATATTAACTTCTCTTCTTGCTTAGACTCATCAGTTTAAGTTAATGTAAATATCAGATTTTGAAGGAAGACAATAACTTTTCATATTTGAATCAAGTGATTTTTAATTATTATTTTTAGATAAAATATCAACATTCAACTATATTGTTTGGCAAGTGTGACTGACTCTTATAATAAAAAATTCTAAATTCCCACATATACACAAAAAAAAAGATAACAGGCTGCATTTTTTCAATTCAAATAATCAGGAATTTAATTGTTACCTTGATAAAAGTTTGGAATTTTGTTTTCAAAGTACACTAAAGATGGTAAGTCATCAATTCCAAATTCAGCAGCAGTTTTATCATCATCAATCTTCACAAAAGGAATGCCATGTTTATCAGTATCATCATCAATGTTTTCTAGTTCCTCTAGTACCTTCATGCTCTTCTTACTCTCTTTGTCATCTAAAAGAAATAAATGTTTACAACTTAATAAGTCACCCAAGATTACAATGAATGTTATATTCTATTTAACATACTGTAGTTCAGAAAAAAAATCATTGAAATTTTATACTTAGAAATTCTGATGGACCACATTAGCTTTTTAAATACATTTTAAAACTATTTTCTTATTCCTAAACACATCTTTCAGGTAGTTCCCTTACACAAAAGGAAGTTATTTCAGGAAGTGTATTCCAGTGTAAATCTAAATTGTAGCTTTGACTAAATCTAAACACAAAATATACTGGAAACTATGTAAGAAAGTGAAAATCAATCTTTATTTCTCACAATTCAAGTACAAGGTCAGTGTTTCCTGGAGAATTTTAGATCAGTCTAGTGGTTGAACCAACCTGTTGATTCAAACCTCTATTTTCCAGAATGAGAGTATAACAATACAAAGAAGGTCCTAGCCACCCTCCTCAGTGTGCATGTGCTACCCATGTCATTGATGGTTAGTTACACAGAAAAATGAAGAAGGATGTATCCTCAAGATTTCACCTGAACCACAAGTGGAAAAGATTGGTCTGCATTTATACAGTAATCTTTTCCATGACAAAGTGCACTTGATACCATATGTAAATGATACAGAATAACAGGTAACTAGAGCAAAAGAAATTTTGCCACATTACTTGACCAACATTCTACTAGTATATGGCTCTATAAACAAATAGATTGAAAGCTATAAAACATATACTTTGCCTGAACAATGACAACATTATAATGAGTAACTTACATTAAATTTCGTACTTCTTGGAGGAGCAGTAAATAAATTAGACTAAAAGGGATACCTGGAGAGCAAATACTACAGGAAATTGTGGATTTTATAAAAATATTTTCTTAAATTAAGAACTTAAAAACTTATATAATATTAAAATTTGGATCATTAGTTATGTTTTGATGCAAAGTTAATTTGTATACCATGATAATAAAGCACTTTAATTAAACTAAAACCTTGTGATGTCCACAGAAAATGATACCCATAGTGAGAGTGTTAAACCAGAGTGTTGTAACAGCCAAAAGCATAAAATTACTCAATACGACAAAATATGTGGAGCCCACCAATTGTGCAAAGCATAGAAATAAGTCCAAACTTTAAGAGTTGGTGCTCATAAGCATTATAATCAACTCAGCATTTCTGTAAAATGAAAACAAGTTACTGTGCAAGAATAATTACATTACAAAGTAAAACTTAAATTTTGTTTGCTTTATGTTACAAAGTCATATAGAACTAAATTCCATGTCTTAAAAATACATAATTTTACAATAAAATATTTTCTACTTGATTAAAGCAATTTTTACATGTTAAATATAACACCATTTGTGCAAGAACTTTAGTAAGCATACTTACAAAACAACACAGCTAAAAACTTTGAATTATCAATCATTTGGTCCAGTACTTTATCAGTGACATCTTCAATCTCATCAGAAGACTGCTGAGTAATTAGCCACTCTAGGACCTCTTCCTCTATTGTTAAATCTCCTGCATAAAAGATCAATCAGACTTTTTAGTATGTTTGAAGTAACAGAAAAATATCACAAAGAAAATTGTTTAATTATATTCAATTGTTGTCTTGTGCACTTAGCTCATCATATTTGTTAAGAAAGTTCCTGCTAGTAAATTGTAACCACTAATAAGCTCCAACAAGCACAACATGTCTAATAGACAGCTCCTGAAAGTACACCATGAGGATAAATAAGCTGCACCTAACACACCTTATCTTTCAGCAACCTACAACTAACACTCGTTATATTCTAAAAAGTTTCTGTTATTACATAATGAATGTAAATAAGCCATATATGCCATTAATAGAGAACACCTTGTCCAAAAGTAAGCTCCCACTAGCACACATTTGTTAGCAAGCTCCATCTACCACAGTTTGGCAGTTGATATGCTACACCTAGCATATCATAGCAAGATCCTATATAAGTGTGCTTTTGAAAACTAATCTATTATAATGCAAATAGAAAAAACCTTGATAGAAGTTTGGAACTTTGTTTTCAAAGTACACCAGAGCAGGTAGGTCTTCTATGCCAAATTCAGCAGCAGATTCATCATCATCAATTTTTACAAAAGGAATGCCATGTTTGTCAGTATCATCATCAATGTTCTCTAATTCTTCTAACACTTTCATGCTTTTCTTACTTTCTCGATCATCTGAAAAAAATCCACAAAACGAAAATTTTTTGTAGTTCACACTAACTGATTAAACAATTCAAATTAAATAAATCCATTAGCAATATTTTCAGTTGATACTTGTATCTTTTTGACAAAATACCTAACCAATAATCATAGTTTCGTATAGTAACGACCTTTTTTTTTTTTCTCTTTTAAAAACTTGGATACTATGATTTTAAATCATACTTAGTTCATGAACTGTTGTATAAACAACATAAAGAAAAATTAATTTTTTTAAGCAGTGCTTAGCTGACCTAATACGAGTCAAAAATACAAATGACATATAAGCTTCATATTTCTCATACAAAATAAGCCCTTTAAAGGACATTTATTCTTTGTGATTCAAACACAATTTAGCAAAGATGATGTTATTCTCAAACTGGATGAACTATTTCCCTTTTCATTCAACAGGCAGTTGGAGTCCATTCAAGTTCTCAAACCAACTATTCATCCATGCTCCAAACATATATATATAATAATTATATTAGCTATATAAAATCAGTGCAGTTAAACACTTATAAGAAACAGAATTTTTGTATCCAAATATAATAAACAGATGTTATGAGAAACGTATTAACTTGCACTGGAAATAAAATCCTTATCAGAAACAGCTGAGGGCTACATTTTAAAGAAATATCAATGCTCATTGTCCTAGCTAGGCTAATCATAAAAAAAAGTTACAAGATCAAATTTAATATATTATCAACCTAGCTCGTGTGCATTATTGCTCTTTATGACAACTTAAATAGGCTTAAATTCCTCTATAAAGTTGATAGTTTCTCAAGGTAATTCCCTTTCATGTAATAACAATCAGAGAAATAGTCATACAAATAAAAAAATACTTGATTGATGTAAAAAAAGATTAATATTACTATGAGAAACAACTGTACTGTAAGAATATGTTGACCTGAGAAAAACTGACTCCCATTACTGTTGTTTATAATGACTATAAGCTCATACATTATTCTGAACATTTGATGAATTTAAATGTGACAGATATTATTTTTAGAAAAAATATTTCTGTTTGTGTTATTTTTTATACTTTAAGCATACCTTATTGTGAGAATTGTTTCTAGTGGTGTGACTGTTTCTAGCTTCAAACTCATTGTGAGTAATGTTTCTGTCAGTATGACTGTTTCTAGCTTTAATCTTATTGTAAGAACTGTTTGTCAGTGTGACTATTTCTACTTTAAGAATACCTTATTGAAGAATAACTTTTTTCAGCGTGGCTGTTTCTACTTTAGCATACCTTATTGAAGAATAAGTATTTTTGTCAGTGTGACTGTTTCTAATTATGCATACTTTATTCAAGAATAACTGTTTTTGTCAGTGTGGCTGTTTCTACTTAAGCATACTTTATTAAAGAATAACTGTTTTTGTCAGTGAAATTGTCTCTACTTTAAGCATATCTTATTGAAGAAAAATTCAAAATTTCCCTTAAAATATACAGTGGCAGAAAAAGTTTGTAAATTGCAAACAAACAAAATTAGTACAAGCCATGTACAGAATATCTAAACCACTCAATGGATAATACAGCTGGTTTCAGAACTTTAATTGGCTGTAAATGCCTGTTGAATAAAAATGGGACAATGTTTTGATACAGTACTGTGACCTTATTTAGGTCAGTACAGTTGAAGACAATAATGAAGAGCAGCTATTGATCTGGTACTCATAACTAGTTGCCTTCTAAGAATTAAATGGTACCCCACCACCTTCCTGGCTATATAAAAAGAACCCTCAATACCATTTCCATAGTAATTGGTTTAAGAAAGCAAGGTATGTAAATACTACATACCTTTCTTTCCTATAGTGTGTTTATCTTATATCTGCAAAAGTGTTTAATTTTCTTTTTAAATTCTGATTGGAACATATTAAATCTGGTTGACTGGTCAATAAACTTACCTGTTGTTTCACGGGATATTTGTATTGTATCCTACTTGCTTTACATGGAGCAGAAATACTGAGAGACATGATGAAAAAAACAAACAAACAGAGACTGATGACATATTGAATTGGAGCAAGAATAGATGTCTCAGCTCTAAGGATGAAGCTGATCCTAGTCTGAAGGTAAAATACCCTAAACTGCAGTACCTGACCCTTGTGCACAAAAACCACTGATAGTGGTGGTGTCCTACCACTATGGCAATGTGCAGATAGGAGCTGACTACAACAAATTTGGATATCCACAATCCCAGTAAAAAATGCCAACTCAGATTGAGGAATTAGTAACTTGTGAACCATGGAGAATCTAGACATTGATACAGACGAGAAAGATCAGTAACTAGACACCAACCTCCTGTCTTCTTAGGTCCAACAACCAATGGGAATAAAACCCTAGAAGAACTAGCACGACTCTCTCACTACCCACAGACCAACCAAACTCTTATAGCCCTAGATCTGCATGAGAGTCAAACCCTACAGGCTGGGTTGATAATGGTGGTGAAGATGTAAACTGAATGACTAATCCTGACTCAAGGTACTATAGTGCTCATAGATCCATGGTTAAGGTTACCACGTGGCCAGAAATTCTTGGAACCGAGCCACCACTGAATATATATATATGTGTGTGTGTGTGTGTGTGTATATATATATATATATATATTTATATGTACATTTAGAATAAAATGTTATAAGCTACTCTATAAAAAAACACATTTTAAGTAATATGGTGAAAAATTTACTTACAAAATAGTACAGCCAAGTACTTTGAACTATCAATCATTTGTTCCAATACTTTATCAGTGACATCTTCTATTTCATCAGAGGTTTTCTGTTTAATCAACCACTCCAAAACTTTTTCCTCATTTGTCAGGTCTCCTAAATAATAAACCAATAAATGTGCCCCTGTTAACAAAGCAAACTAAAATAGTCACAGATAAAAGAACTTTTTACATTGGAAGAATTTATAGGTATATGCAATAATTTACGATTTTAACCAAAAATTTAAATTTTAAACAAGATTATAAACAATTCCGCTGTGTCCAGAGGAAAAAATAACAAAATTTTCTGATAGCTAGTACAGTCTTTCTCTATGTGACTGTGTATGTTTTTAATTCTATTTTATTATTTATTCTTTAATAATTTATTTGAAATTCCCAAAGCTTTTCTTTTGGTTAACTTGTGTTTTTCATTTTGTTTTGTTTTCCTGGACAAATCTCTACTCTGGTATATAGCTGTTAATTGTCCCCATCTGTAGATATATCTATTGCCTTCTTTATAAAAAAAGCTATATATAAGATTAATACAGGATATTCAAATAACACATTATCAAGCACTTTATTTAAAAATCTTGGGATATATACTTCAGTTCATTCAAAAAAAATAACTCACTCTGTATATACGTGTAAAACATTTTCTCATGCATACCCGTTATGCTCATTGTAACAAATTTTGCATACATTAAAGTACTTAAAAGTTTTAACATTTGAATACCTTGGTAGAAATTTGGAACTTTGCTCTCAAAGTACACTAAAGCTGGTAAATCTTCAATTCCAAACTCAGCAGCAGTTTTATCATCATCAATCTTTACAAATGGAATGCCATGTTCGTCAGTGTCATCATCAATGTTTTCTAATTCTTGTATCACTTTTAAGCTCTTTTTACTGTCTTTGTCATCTAGAAAAATTAACAAAATAAGTTATCCCATGCTTTTTAGTATTCTACAAAAAGACTTGATATACACACACACAGTTTCAACAACAATTTCAGTTAGAAATAAAAGTGAGTCTCTATGGTAGAATAAGATTTCTCCCTAGGATAAAAGATAAAACTTCCTAATATACAGTCTGGGCAAGTTTCATAGCTTATGACAAACCTACTTCATATGTAGATTAATAAAAGTTTTAAAACTTACTGATACAGTAAATCTTCTATATATACTTTGATTATAGTTCCAAAGCTAACAAACATTATAAACTTTCAATATACATATACACTAGTGAAAGTCTTATAGCATAATAGCATGGTCAACCCTCAAATATAAATTGATCAAAGTTTCATGGTACATCCTCAAGATGTTCAAAATTTTATGAAAAAGAGACTAACTTCACTTACAAAACAACACTGCGAGAAATGGAGATTTCTCTATAAGCTTATCAAGCACTTCATCAGTGATGTCTTCAATTTCATCAGATGTTAACTGTTTGACCAACCACTTCAGGACCTCTTCTTCTTTGCTCAAGTCACCTAAATTTTTAAGAAATTAAAAACACATCCGAATATTGAATTACACAACCATTCAATGTGATTCACTTACTGATTGTAGATAAATCTGCAATTTTAAAAAAAGGAGCTCTGAACACAAAAACATATCTCTGCAGACTATTTAAACATGTTAACAACATGCAAGTAAACACTTCCACTCAATAATCACTCCAAATTTACTTAAAAAGTTCACCATTTTACTGTCATATTTTCTTATATCAAATCACTATATTTTAAAACAATTTAAACACTTTAACCATCAGGGTTTGAAATTAATGTAAACAACAGTCAAAATTATTTTTAAAACATTGGTAGCATGAATAACATTTATGGGAAAACCACACTACAATTATCAACTAATAAGCCTTCTCCAGTAGCTTGTTGTGCATCATTCTTGCATTTCTCTATGGGATTCACTAAATTCAAAATAGCAAGTAAATGCAGTGTGTTTAAGTGTCAGTTTTTTAGATCACATATATCAATATATATATATATATATATATATATATTTTTTTTTTTTTTCATTTCACATTAACAAATGTAATTATTATCACAAATATACAGTTTGATAATATATTAAAAACCTAAAACTGAAAATGCAATGTTTCTTGGAAATATCGTCTCACCAGTTATATCCATTAAGAGTGACACTTCTGTGAGTAACTTTTAAAATAACTGGCAAATATTTTCCCAGTGGCCAACTGTTCGTTTCAAGCTGTGATTTCAATTTACTCCACATTACTTACAATAATTTCAAATTTATGAACTTTCAATTCCAAATTATTAGATAATTTCATAGTTTCAGATAAACAAAAAACAAACCAAAATATAAACATGGGATATACATCATGAGAATCAGAATACTTATCAGAATGTTGAAGAACAGTTTACATTTCTGTTTTTATTTAACAAGTTTTATATAAAAAAATACTGAGAATAGCATTAATGGTTTAAATGTGTTATACAACACATATTAACTATAAAAAGTTCTTGCCTACTTTCTCACTATTCTTAACTAGAAGCTTTACTTTAACTTTATGTTGCTGAACCTTTATGGAAAAAATGTTTAAGGTAACATTTTATTGATAGGTTGTTTAGGCAAAGTATTTATAATGAATCTAACTTTCAAACGGACAGCAACTGCCTGTTGTAGAAACCTACAAATGTAGAAGACGATGTTTCGAAAGTCTTCCGCCTTTTGTCTTCAGGTCAGTGTGTGTGTGTGATGTAGAGGCTACAGGAAGTCTCTCCTTCAATCAGAAACGTCTTTTAGCCAACCAATCATAACATGCTCTTCCACAATCCACTAGAACACTATAAAGATCAAACTACACCACACACACACTGACCTGAAAACAAAAGGCGGAAGACTTTCGAAACATCATCCTCTACATTTGTATGTTTCTACAACAGGCAGTTGCTGTCCAATTGAAACTTAGATTCAACATTTTATTGTTCAGACAATTTCAAAGTTTCTAATGTTTTTGGTCTCTAATAGTTAAATTCTGCAAATACATTTACTTAATCATAAATTTCTTGAACCTTTTTAGCGTAATAGCATTCTGGTGTCAAATAAATGAAATTTTACTTCAATAAGAAATGGGTTGTAATGTCAATGATTTTTTAGACATTTTGAGTAGACTACTAATAATGGTTTTGGAACCTTATTCAGATATTACAGTAACTAGTCTTCAGCATTGAATCCATGTAAGTTAACATTTTCATAATCTGAAAACGTATTTTTGGTAGATACCTCTACACACAGATTAGCTAGGATCCCATACTGAATTGAAGGAGGGGCTGGTGCAAAATATCCAAGGTGAGTTCCCTTCAGAAAGCACCTAAAGAGATGCTCATGGAGTGTGACACCCAATGACAGGGGCCCCATAAGTGCACACCTGTGGGAGACCATATCTCGTCTCAACTACGGTATACTCTTCACCCAGAATGTAAGGAGGAAAAAGACAAATAAGCTCCTTGTGCTGCAGAGACTGGCAGAATGAGAAAATAACCATCCAATCACTTGCACATATGCTGTCAGAAAGCCAATTTGTGTAGTGTGTTTGGGAGACATTCAGACCATATCTTGTGTGCTCACCATGACTCTATTGAACAGACTCAATGAGACAGACTCCAGCTGCAAGAGGAGGGTACTTTAGTAATGTAGTATGGTTTTCTATAGTGTATACTCACCTCAACTCTACTGAATAGGCACTGGTTACAGGAGGAGGGCACATCAGTGACATATTACGGTTTCATATAGTGTGTCCTCACCTCAGTTCTATTGAACACACTCAGACATTAGTTTTGGATCATGTTTTCTGTAGATTGTGTGCTCACCTTGACTCAACTGAACATACTTTGACTGCAAGAGAGCACAAGTTGCATGAGTTATGGTTCAGAAGGGTGACCCACAATACAATGACAGTGTCACCACCACCCCACTTCTCATTGTATTATGCTAAGCCCAAATGGTGAGAGTTCTCCAAGGTACCCCCCCCCCTTAATGGTTAGGAACTTGTAAGTGGCAAGGGTTTCTTGTGTTTCACTCAAAAATGAGGAGGGGGAGAGAGAATTCACACTGTTCAGACCCAAAAAAAGTGTCCAGATCCCTATTGGACCTCCAGCCAGAAAGGTTTTCTACTGAATACTGTGCAGTGAATGACCACAAAACCCTATTTTTTAAAGCTAGAAAGTGCGAGATAAAGAGGTGAGCAGATCACCAAACCGATGCTGGATTTTTCCATGATATAGGTATAGTCTGGATCAGGCAACTGAGTAAATGTATATCACGAGGATAACTCAAGTGGCCTTGTGGAAAACCCCATCTCACAGTGGACACTGGTAGAGCCAGGGTAGGTGGTATGAGCACTTACTGTTATCTTAACTCAATGTATATTTTGGGTAAGTATGACCTAGAAGGCAACACTAGTCATCTGATGGGATCCTATAAAATTAAAATGGGGTATGAAAAAGAAATTGTATGTATTCTTCTCAGAGACAGTAAGGTGATAGATGGAAGCCAAAATCCAGAAGAAGATGAAGCAGCTAGATGGTGTAGATAAAGAAACATAAATGGGTGATCTCATCTCAGAGCCACAAAGATGAGATGCAAGAGAAAGAGAAAAGTGACAAATTGAATATGAAGAAATGTGAAATAGCCAGCAAGCATCAAATTCAGAGACAAACATACCAACTGGAGGAATCAACAAACACATACAGTAAAGATAAAAGGAGAAAGATCCCTAGGAGAAAAGGGGTCCAAGAGTAGAGACCCTGAAAGGGAAAGGTCTGTGATAAGAAACACCAAAAAAACTCAAACAGGACACAAGGGCCAATCCAGGTCCAAATAAGTGGGGAGAGACAGAATGAAGGAAGATACTTGAAAAAGTACAGTTACCCTCCCAAGTGGTTGAAGTCTTAGGAAGGAAAGATCAGTCCAGGGAGAGAAGTAAAAAAGTGAGAGGGAAGAGGGTACTAGAAGCATCCATAGCATAGATAATGGAACAATGGTAATTGCAGGTGAGAAGGAGGAAACAAGTCTGGAGTCAAAGATGGTACAAAAGCTAGAAGCCAACAGTGAGAACAGGGAACACATGAGAGCATGCACATCACCATTAAGATCTCAATGAGATATAGGAGTTGAGCTATGATGTCGAAGAAAAACAAAGGGGCATAATAGGGTGGGGAATACAGGGGAACAAACAGTTTCTGGTATGAGAAAAGGAGAAATCTCATGAACAAGGCTGCTCAATAAACAGCACAGACATAGAATGAAAAACCTTGGATGAACAATCAGGTAATAAGACTGAAAGGTGGTTCACAGTAGGATGGCCAGGTGTAAAGGAGTGGAAAATGGACAAATGATGAAAGACATGATACTTTCATTGACAGACAAACACAGTAGAAGGGTGACAGGAATGTGACAATAAGAATGCCACATGACTGGAAAGTCTGGCCAGATGGGTGATGGATTGGATAAATCCCACACATGAAGATGGAAGGAATATATTCCATGATCAAAAAAGGGACATGTGAGGGAGAAGCATGAGAGAGGGAAAATCGAAAAGAATAAGGAGGAGAGTGAATGATAAGTGAAAATGTAGAGGAAACCAAGGCTGAGCTGACCAAAGAGGCACTAAATATAGGATCTGACAAGGAGTGATGTGTAATAAAGTGAGAACCCCAAAGGAGGAGAGAAAAAATTGTAATAGGGTTACAGAAAAAGAAAAGACCAGACTGGCTGAGAATTACAACAGCCAGGGCCAAAGGATGAGGAACAGTGGACTAGAAAAGAGGAAGCCCGGAGTAGAGAAGGGTGTCAAAAGCATCCAAAGAGAGATGTACAAAACTAAGAGGAAACCCTAAGAAAACCTGGGGATGTAGAGACCACTTCATTGGTAGAATGAGGACAGGCTAAGAGAGGCAACCTGCAATCAAGTTATAAGCTCTTGGTAAATGATAAGCAATAAGTTAAACCTGCTGTGGATGGATCCAGAAGTGTATGTTCAATGCTCAAGAGCAAATGGTCCTGGAACAGGTGCTTCACGGACAGTAGATGCAAGAAACGACTGTGGAAGTGACTGAGTGGGACATAACCAAGTGATACACCAGCAGGGGTGGGAATGGGAACATGCCAGACAAACAGAGAGAAGGTCAAGCCCACTGCTGTGGAGTGAACATTTATCCCACATCCAAGCACCAATAAACTTGCCCTTGTCTAGAGATGTGTCTCAATCAGAGAGGAAAGCATCGGTGAGAGAGAGATCTGGTTTGAGAGGTGGTAAGGGAATACCAAAAGTAGTATGGGTATGGTCCAGTCACCATGACAATTCCTCAAGGAGAGGATGAAAACAATGGAGCCCAAAAGAGAAACCCTTGGATCTGCAAAGACCACTGTAGAAGACATAGTTGTGCATGCCACAAAGGAATGAGTTCCAGTAAAGGTAGAGTCCCCAAAAGGGAAAGAACCTACTGCAGAGGAAGAGAATGAGAAGTGCAAAACCAGTGACAAGATACGCTATAGCTCACAGGCAACGAAGTGACGGCTAAACTCCCTCGGATGAGAAAAGAGATGAAGAAAATGCCCAGTAGTACTAACTATCAACCAGGCATAAGAAATGAGTTAGATCTCAGGAAAAGTCCTTCCCCACAACCAAGTAGTCTCCTGTAAAAGAAGGGAGGCGTGAGAAGAAGAAACCATCCAAGAATGAGCCAAGAGAAGACAATTGTACAAGAAAAGAAATGCCAGCTCTGGGTTGTGAATATGATGAGTGAAGGCCATCATGATATCAATAAATACAAAAGTGTCCAATATTAAATCAAAAGAAAGAGTAAGGAACAAGAAGATATGAAAATGATGGGTGGAATAAAGAAATATGTGGTCAAGAGTGATGTATAGGAAAGTGTCTGATACATCAACCATGGCCAACCACAGATCAGGTGAAAAAGATCATAGGCAAGGTTTGAGGAAGAAGAAAAGGAAATGGGAAGAGAAGTGACAAGAGAGATCAAGGTGGAGAAATGAAAAACAACTGTCAGTAGAAAATGAGACCAACAGCAGGAGAAGCAACAGGTACACACAGGGTTGTACATGTCTGAAAGTCACTAACAAGCAGAGCTATAAAGTAGATAGACTTCTGAGAGAGGGAAGACAAGAAAAAGAAGAAGGCCTGGAACCTGGAATGGGAAGGTTAAGGGTAGATTGATCTAGGTGAGGAACAGGAGTAAAGAGTAAGGTCGAGAAAGATGAAAAAATCTATGAAGATAACACGGACAGAAACCACAGAACATCAGTCCAGGCCACTGGGGAGAAATGAACACAGTGGAAAACATCTGGGCACAGAAAGGGATTCCAACAAATACCATAGGAATAGGAAGGAGAACATAAAGAGGAATGTAACCTGATCCAATGAGTTCCAACAGCAGAAGAACAAAGTAAGAAGGAACGGAGCAGAAGAAGTGGAACAGGCTAAGCTGGCCCAGTAAGCATGTGGTAATCCATAACACGTTTAATAATGGCTACAACATCCCCAAAAGTTAACAAACCTCCAGGAGCCACAGTAGAAATAAGCCCTGTGTGTGTGTGTGTGTGTGTGAACAATGTCATTCACCCAGGACTAAGTATGAGTCACTGCCTTTTGAGAATTCACAATAAAAAATTAAAGCTTTCAAAACAAATGACAAAGAAAACAAACACAAAGATTTGTTAACAATGAAAATCTCAACAATTTGAATTCAAATTAGAAATTTAAATATGTCTGTACAATACAATGCCGAGAAGATGAATGAAGTTATCAGAAGTGCATAGGGGAGTTATTGAGCATGGAGGTTGTGTTCTTCTTCTATTAGTGGAGGATTTTCTCACGTGGTGATGTCATCATGCACCAGCACAATTCACATTAAAACATGTGAAATTAGGTAGGAGTTGCCTCAAGGCTAGTTTTATACAAATCTCTTAAGCAGATGCATAAGGAAGATAGCTAATCTGCATGAAGAGGTGAGGTAATGAAATTTCTTGGAAATGAAATTTTATTTAGTTATCATTATTATTAGTTTTATGTGAGCATAAAAAATCAAGTTTCTTAAATAACATAAGCAAACCCCTTAAAAATTGCAGTTTAAAATTTTTTATAAATATTTTAATCATTCATTTGTACCAAGAAACTTATAAGCCATAATGATTAACTTCTCAAGTATTTTAAAAACTGTGGAGACAGTTTTTAATCTAAAAACAAAAATTTAGAAACAAAGCACCAGACATTTTGGTGGTGCCTGTCACCTTTTTCACTGGATTGATAAAAAGGTGAAAACTGCCACCAAATCTTCTAGTTCTTTAATTGAAAATTTGTGTTTATAACCTAAAATCTTTGATTAATGTGTTCACAATCACTGTCTTGCTAAAATGTTTTGTGGACACAGCTGACAAACTTAAGTTGTGTGTTATATTTTACTAGTTTGGAAACAATACAGAAAAAAATGTCACAAACAACGTGATGACTGTATATTCATCACAAAATACTGTATTTCTAATACTTCTTTTTATACTTCTGTGAATTATAATATAATATATTTTATTAGAAGGCAACAAATACATACCTTGATAGAAATTTGGAATTTTATCTTCAAAGTAAACCAGAGTAGGAAGATCATCAATGCCATATTCAGCAGCCATTCTATCATCATCAATCTTCACAAAAGGAATACCATGACGATCTGTGTCATCATCAATGTTTTCTAACTCTGCTAGTATTTTCTTACTTTTCTTGCTGTCTTTGTCATCTAAAGCAAAACAAGCAATGTTCCTTATAAAGATAGCATATCTTATAAGGATATGACCATTTTCTTCTTTATCATTTTTTTGTAAATATTAGTTATAATTAATAGGTAATCATCACTATTAATATCTCATCAAGGTAAAAAATCTGTGTTATTTGAATAAATCAAAACACAGTTAAGGTTACACAAAAAAAGTAATGTCTTTGTTTTATAAAGAATGAATTGAATAAAAAAGGAACACTATTCCAAACACTATGATACATCTTTTATGAACTAAATAAACTGCTTCCTTTACAAAACCCAAAACACCCACAGGTAAAATGTTCTATGCAATGCATAAACACCAAAACAAAATTATTAATATTTGGTAAATGTTTCAGTAGCTTTACACATATGTACTTTACTTATTGGTCTCAAATGAAAATGTTTGTTTGTCTGTTTTTTGAGTAAAGTCATATTGAGCTATCTGCTGTTTCCACTGTGGGGAATCGAAACCCAGATTTTAGCATTGTAAGTCTGTAAATTTACTGTTGTCTCACCAGAGGACAATTAAAAAGTAATATATGGCAATTAAAAACTATTATTCATAGTTTTATATATTAGCAAGGTGTACAAACTGACTAACAAAAACTATATGTCTGTTATGAGATTTCTAATAGGATAACCTCAAGTAAATATGATGCCTACATTAATAATAGGCATTTATCTGTTAAATATGCCTTTAGTTACTATCAATGTAAGAATTAATGTTCTGATAATTAGAAACACTGTCAAAATGGTATTCTAGAAAGTAAAAAATCCAGGAATTGTTATTGATGTTATTGAATGACATCATAATAGTAATATACAGTTAAATTTTAAAGCCTGAGTTCTAGTAGGGTTAAACAATAATAATGTAAAATATTGACAGACTAAGTTTGTTTTTATTTTGAAAACAACATTATTATTTTAGTAAAAACTAAAACCATGATAAAAAAAACACACATTAAAATACCAAAAAACTGACATAAAGATGAAATGACTTGTCAGAGACTATGTTGAAGTAAGAATGATATATTTCACAAAGAATACTGAGGTTGATTTCTGAGTATGTACAGACACTTCTTAACCTGTAGCTGCTCTAAAGTGAGTGGATGTTCTGCAAGCCATACATGGCACACTCGTATTCAACTGCCAGAGGTAGACCATAATCTATACAGCGAATCAGCAGTCAATGGATTAATGAAAGAGGAGAATCTCAGAGATCTCATAAATATTGAAATATAAGAAAACACAAAATTACAAAAGGAAGAATTGCAAAGAATAAACTTTTTTGTTAATTCAAAGTACAGCAGATTAATCTTACAATGATAAAATTTAGGGAAATGGATGTTTGTCTGTCAGCATTGCACTTAGCTGAGTCAATATTTTCTTAAGGTCAGATCTACATGACTCTATACAGTGTAAAGTTAAAAATTTATGTCTCTGAAGGTGCAAATATTAAAAATATTGTTTAAAATGAAGTTTGTGAAAAATAACTTTTCCAATATAAATGTTATCATTTTCCTAAACTAAAAATGTATTTCCAAACATGCTTACCTCCGCAGACACTAATAGCTATTTCTTGATATTCATATCTGCCATCTAACGTTGTGTTCGCTTGCTCTAGTCTTTATATACCCCACTCGACTGCCCTCGGCAATATCTAATTTGCAAAACTTTACCCTGGCCCTCACACGCTCTCTATGCAGGTACTGTATATAAGCACTGTATGCAGAAAATGAAATCACTTTTTCGAGACTTACCTCATTCCTGTCACTAACATTGGCTCTTACTGGGGAGGAAGGAAGGGAGAGTATCAGTGAAGGTAAACATGTTTGGAAATACATTTTCAGATTAGGAAAATGATAACTTCCAAAACATACATACCTCCACTGACACTAATAGCTATAATCCCACATGAGAAGATGGAGGGGCTGGTGAGGACATAAATCATACAGAAAGTGTGTGCAGAAAGCAAATATGTACCATGAGAATAAGGATGGAAACGATAAAGAGAACCAATGGAATGAGGAGTGGAAGGAGGGGGCTTTGAGACACAAAGGGATGAACCTGCAGAAGTACCAGTTGAAGTAGAATAGAGTGGAGCAGCCAAACACGATAAAGAAGACTGCAAATGTGCTGTATCAACTCTGGCCTCTAAAGATTCTGGAATGCCAGTGAATGAATAAATAAAGCCAAAGAAAAGGCATTTCCCATAAATCTCGAAGGGCAGGAGAAGGTAAGTGAATACCCTCCAAAAATGCTTCAAGTCCCAGCAACAGACCAACCACGACACCAAGGCAAGTCCTGAAGGGGACAAACGTGTCATAGTAGTGAGCAGTAAAGAGCCCAGTTCATCATCAAATTGTTGAGGCAATTGGTGACATGCTTCAGACAAACGTTGAAGGGAAGCGACGTATCTTATAACAGTAGTAAGGGTCAAATGAATCAGCAAAAATTGTGATCTGTTAATAGAGATAACAGGTTTGTACTTGGCATCCCATAGATCCAACAATGGATCTAACCCTTGAGTGTCCAAATATATATCATCCTGATGATGATATGCTAGGGCATGTTCCGAAAAAAAAGAGAGGGGAGAGACATAGCGACACCCTCACATATTTGTGTTGCAAACCTACCTGCATGCACAGCAATATCAGGAGAAAGAGGAAAAACCAAGTAATACCCTAGAGAACGATCAGACAAAAAAGCAGAGGCAGACTCAAAAGCAACTGGTTGCATCTCCAAAACTGTAGAAAAGGGGCAGAAGGTGGCTGATCAGATGAGTCCTCAGGAGAGTAATCTCTAGTGAAAGAGGAAGCAGGAAACAGTGAGTCTATATTCTCCCCAGAAATCTTACTCCGAATCAGGTCACAGACAGCTTCCACGAAGAGTGCCCCCCCACTATTTATTATATTTAAGTGTTCTATAGTAGCATACTTCAATTCAAAGCAAAAGGAAATGTAACAAAATGAATATCAGTAATTTAGTATTTAACAGATGGTTTCCAAAATAAGACTTTAGTATTTACAATTCTAAGTTTAAGCCCTACAACAGAATATTAACTACATGACTATTACATACTAAAGGTGTGGCAGTATAGCGATACAATATGAGTATTGTATTATGAAGCCGTGATAGGATTGTATCAATACATCGTCCAATACAATATAACTTATGTATCTTCATGAAATTTGGCAAGCTTTCAGTAAACATTATAAGTCTTTTGTACAGAAAAAATCAGAATTTCTAATAAAGTATTTTTACTAAAAATTAAAGACTCAATTAGGTAAGATGAGTATCGAGTGCTACATGTTGTGTTCATTTCTTTTATTAAAAACATTACATGCAAAGTAACATAACAAATTAACAATATCAAAATAGATAGATATTAACTTTTTTTATTTCACTACTCTTGCCAGCTGCCATTTAGTTGATCAAACCTGAGAATTTGAAAAAGTAATATAAAGTGTGAAGTACTTAAATAAGGCAATGTTAGTAATATAGATAATAAATTACAGAAAAGACTGTCAAACTTTGTAACAAACTGTTGATACACTCTAGTCTGGAATGCTGGTTACTTGACCATTACAAAACACTATTCCAAACTTAAAGTTGAATAGAGCCAAAAATGCTGTTATTTTTCTAGTTTTAATGTTAATAGCAAATTAAAATAAACTCTTAAAATATACTGCATACATTAATAACAACTTACAAAACAAAACTGCCAAGTTGGGAGACTTCTCTATGAGCGAGTCTAAAGCTTTAGATGATACATCCTCTATAACACTTTCTTCATCATCATCATCATCATCACCATCTGAACCTTTTAATTCAAGTAGCCAATCCAGTACTTTTTCTTCATTATGAAGATCACCTGCATAATGAAATGAATATTGTATATACAAAATTACTTAAAAAATAGCATAATAAGCTACAACTTTATGGAATGTAAAATTTGTAACTATTAGGTCATCAAGAAATTAATGTTGCTTTTTTTAAAAGAAAAAACCCAATCAACTTATACATCAAAACAAATCATTTATTAAACGAAATAGTCTCCATTCTTATTGATGATGCTTTCCCATCTTACAATCAGGTTGTTAATACCTTGAGTAAATAAATCACTTGGCTTTGAAGCAAAAAACATGTCGATGTCCTCTTCAACACCTTCCACATTTGCATATATTTTCCCATAAAGATGGTGTTGTAGCGAACGAAAAAGACGATAATCTGATGGTGCCATATCTGGAGAATATGATGGGTGGGGGGAGACCTTCCCAACGCAACTCCATAATCTTGTGTTGCTTCAAACATGTCACATGTGGACATGTATTGTTGTGGAGAAGAGGAAGAACACCTTTCTGATTGACAAGTGAAGGGCATTTCTGATGAAGGGTTTGATTTAAACTTTCCAGTTGCTGACTATAGATCTCTGCATTGACAGTTCTCTGTGGATTGACTCTCATGGAACAATACTTAAACATCTCAGGAATATAGGAAACTCCATAAAGAAGGTGTTTGGGTGCTTCACGAACTCTCTGATGACCATTGTTTCAAACGTGTTAATGTTACTTCATCTCTTCTGCTGCATGATGCATGTGAACCATTTTTGGAAAGAATTGTCAACGGTGATGAAAAATGAATTCTCTATGCAAATATGAAATGCCAAAAACAATAGCTCAGTCACAGACAAAAACCACTTCTGACCCCAAAGCCTGGACTCCATCCACAGAAAGTGATGCTTTGCATTTGGTGGGACATCAAAGGAGTAATTCATTTTGAACTCCCTCGTGAAATGGCCCTGAAATTGCATGTTTGTGTTGACTTGGGTTAGACTCAACAAGCGTCTTCAGATCATCAATATCAATTCCAACATGTCGGTCCCTGCCATCACAGTTTTTAAGGCTAAAGTCACCTGAACGAAATTTGCTGAACCATCGTTGACATTTACGAACGTTCAAAACATTTCTTACTAGGACTCATAATGTTATTGCAAAATTTATGAAAAATCTCCCATTTGATTTTATGTTTGTATTTCGTGCAAAGCTACACGAGGGCTGTCTGCACTAGCCGTCCCTAATTTAGCAGTGTAAGACTAGAGGGAAGGCAGCTAGTCAACACTACCCACCGCCAACTCTTGGGCTACTCTTTTACCAAAGAATAATGTGATCGACAATCACATTATAACGCCTTCTCTGCCGAAAAGACGAACGTATTCAATGACGGGGTTTCAAACCCACGACTCTGAGATTACGAGTCTCTGCCTTAACCACCAGGATTGAGCTTAGGAAATGGAAATGGGGGAGAAAAAGAATAAGAAGAAAAAGGTTTCCGATAAATAGACGAAACTGTAAATCTTATAAGGAACCGATATGACAGTCACCTGGATGTATACTACAGTCGTTGTTTTTATCTGTGGGTTAAAAAAGTTTAGCTGGCTGTATAGTATAGTTGTTGTTTTTATCTGTGAGTTAGAAAATTTAGCTGGCTGTATAGTACAGTTGTTGTTTTTATCTGTGAGTTAGAAAAGTGTATCTGGATGTATACTACAGTCGTTGTTTTTATCTGTGGGTTAAAAAAGTTTAGCTGGCTGTATAGTATAGTTGTTGTTTTTATCTGTGAGTTAGAAAAGTTTAGCTGGCTGTATAGTACAGTTGTTGTTTTTATTTGTGAGTTAAAAAAGTTTAGCTGGCTGTATAGTACAGTTGTTGTTTTTATCTGTGGGTTAGAAAAGTTTAGCTGGCTGTATAGTATAGTTGTTGTTTTTATCTGTGGGTTAGAAAAGTTTAGCTGGCTGTATAGTAC